AAAACACTGTTGAGCTTGATATACTGACGTAATATTATGATTTTACTGTCTAAGCACAGAACAGATTTTGGTCTTGCGGTTTTAATAGTTATTTTTTAATTACATATTTTAATGTGTTTAAAAAATAACAATGCATAATGTAATATTCAGCTATTATCAAAAGTGTATGCGACCCGCCCGTTTCTACTGCTATTTTCTTCCGTATTAGCAAATATCTCAGCTTTTTTTAATTGCCACTGTAGAAAACAAACACACAGCACACCTGATGGTAAGTTGTGACCGTCGTTCATGAATATCAGCAAGTGTTACTAATTAACTAAGTCAAGCCTTTTAGGTAACTATTCGATAATAGTCGATAAGAGGACGAGAATTGAGAATAAAATTCAAATAGCTTATCATGTCTAGGTACGTTTCGTTGCATGATTGCATGACAGTAAAAAGATATGACGTACGGAGGAAGAGAAGTTATTTTCTCCGACGCTATGGTATTGGAGCAAAGAATGAACATATACACAAACACATAGGGCCATGTTCAATAATCCTCTGTAAAATGATACTTACTTATTTATTAAGAATTTGTGTATCGACAAAAACCTTGACTGTGTCAGCACTTGTACGTCATCTATACTTCTATACTAATAATAATAATATTATATATATAATATATAATAATATTATAAAGAGGAAAGATTTGTTTGTTTGTTTGTATTGAATAGGCTCCGAAACTACTGAACCGATTCAAAAAATTCTTTCACTGTTTGGAAGCTACACTATTTCTGAGTGACATAGGCTATAGTGTTTTTTGAAAAAAATTAGGGATCCTTACTAAAACTCCAATAATGTAACCCAAGGTGTAAAAAAATTACCTAAAATATTCTTTACATCGCGTGCCCTGCAAAAACTATTGATGATAGAATAAAATAATGTACTACGACTTTGTAGAACACATTATTATTTACAAAAAGTGTCGCGACAGCATATGTCTAACTATTATAGTTATGCCGCAATAAGTGTACTTTAATTAAAAAAAATAAAACAACGTCAAATATCGTTGAAATTTTTGTTAAAGACCCGAGCGAAGCCGGAGCGGGCCGCTAGTAATATTATAAAGCTGAAGAGTTTGTTTGAACGCGCTAGTCTCAGGAACTACTGGTCCGATTTGAAAAATTCTTTCAGTGTTAGATAGCCCATTTATTGAGGAAGGCTATAGGCTGTAACATCACGCTAACACCAATACAAACGGAGCACCAATAAAGAATATTTCAAAATCGGGGTTTTTTTTCTTTCTACGTAAATGAAGTCGCAGGTAAAATTTAGCGTTATGCCAAAGTAGCTATTCCACGCGGACAAAGTCGCGGGCAAAAGCTAGTATTCAATAACCTAGACGAGCCTTGAGAGGCTATTTCAGCTTCACCCTAACGTTTGTAGTTGAGCTCACGGGGCTCAACCGGAGAGTTGCTAACGCTGACCCTAGCAAGAGCAGTGCTTCGCAGAATCTACCACCGGATCGGAAACGCGACCCACTGAGAAGATCCGGCGAGAAACTCAGTGGGCTCATCTGTTTTTAAGGAACCCATAGACATCAACAACGTAAATTGCCCCACCCACCTCGATATAAACAACACAATATATATTCAATACCCAAGATGCAGTACAAAATGCTTTTGAAGAGTTTATTGGTTTCCTGAATTCTTCAAGGTCATTGAAAAATTACCACTGCGTTGGCAGTCATTCATTGATACTATGCGTCCATATTTTGATTAATACCTTCCCGATCCTGCGGACAAAATGGAAAGCAGTCGACGTCGCCCCAAACACGTCTTTTCGGATCCTCCCAATTCACTAACGGTGCTTTTAGGTATCTCAAGCACCGGTCATCGTTCTAAATTAATTCACCCTCAGACACAGCCCACTGAGTTTTTCGCCGGATCTTCTCAGTGGGTCGCGTTTCCGATCCGGTGATAGATTCTGCGAAGCACGGCTGTTACTAGGGTTCGTGTTGGCAACGTCGTCAGGTTTGAGCCCCGTGAGCTCACCTACTAGTTAAGGTGACGCTGATATAGCCTCTCAAGGCTATCAGCTTAGGTAGGAAAAAAAAAATGATTAATAGAAATGTTTTTCTTTTTTAATAAATTAATTAACTTAAACGGAAATTGCGTAGATAAAGACTTAAATGTAAGTATAATGTAAGTCACCAGAGTTGTCATTTCAGTATTTTCAACATGACTACGTCCATAGGAAAATCTACTGTTTACTGTGGAAATGATTCTGTGTTTTTCCAAAGATATTAGCATAATTGAGTTGTTATTAATTCAATGTGTTTTTTCAAATCGATTGATTTCGATCGCGTATTTTTATGCTTTTCATGTTCAAAAGTTTCCATCCTATTAACTTCGTCTCACTCAATAATATATAGTTAATTAATAATTTGTGACCTTCACGCTTGGATCGTGGTCATTGCATATTTTATCTTTTAATCAACAGCTAACGATGAATAGTTTCTTTGAGGTGAAACATTGACCTCTAATTAAATTATTTTACGCAACATTATCTTCACAATAGTTCAGTCCATCTCACCTTCTGATCCAATAGGGATGGTTCGATTGAAGGTAAATTCATAAGTTACAGAATAGAACAATACATTACCATTCTCAGTACATCCTCGCATTGTTGGAACAAAGAAAACTAGAACTTGTTTTGTTGACGTCAGATGCTGTTTTAAAACTTGTTGAATCTGTTTATCGATTGTCGTTTTTTTTTATTGCTTAGATGGGTGGACAAACTCACGGCCCACCTGGTATTAAGTGGTTACCGGAGCCCATAGACATCTACAACGTAAATGCCGCCACCCACATTATTCTTTAGGTCTTGATGTAATGTTGAATTTATGTTATTCATGACACTTTAATATATATAGTTCTAAAACCCCATTTTCAGTTACTTTATTATTTATTTATACTATTATGTATTACCCTTTAAATGTATACAACCCGTTTTATAATAAACGTCAAACGGTCGACTGACGCAGAGGCAGCAATCCCACTGTTATCGAGCTAGCAGCAAATCGCATCATAGTCTGAACTGATGATGATCATCCAGATTAAAAAAAAAATAATTTTGTTAAAAACCCAGATCGTATTAAATCATATAAGTTATTAAAATCTTAAAAAACAAGCACATATTGAAAGCATGGCTTAGTTTGTTAAAGTTGTATAAAAAAGAAAAATCCTACCTAATCGCCAGTAGTAATGTAATGCAAATTGATCGGGAGCCCGAATTCGAAGAAGATTTCGAAGTCGCAAAAGCGTTTGACAAAGTTTGGCACAACTATTTGATCTTGAACAAGTGCGTACCGGACAGTCTCGTGCTCATCTTACAGGACTTCTTGTCAAACCGCTCTTTTCGTTATCGAGTCGAGGAAACCCGACCCGTAGTCAAACCGTATCTCACCCCGCATTAGGCGTAAAAACCTCACTTCCCCGAACACCCTCTTCAGTCAATCAATAACCCTGGGCCAGGAAGGTCAAAATCTGGGAGTCACCCTGGATGCATCAATGACATTCCGCCCCCACAGAAAATTTGTCCCAATAAGGTGACACTTTACAAAACTTGCTTAAGACCCATCATCGGTCTTTGATGACTGGGTGAATCATGGCCGAGGACGCCTCACCTTCCGTCTGGTGCAGTTGCTGACTGGGCACGGATGCTTCGGGAAGTACCTGCACTGGATAGGAGCTGAGCCGACGATAAGGTGCCACCATTGCGGAGCATACGCTCGCTGTCTGCTCCGTTTGGGAGGTGCAGCGCCGTGTCCTTGTCGCAAAGATAGGACCGGACTTGTTGCTGCCTGGCGTCGTGGCGTCGATGCTTGGCAGCGACGAGCCCTGGAAGCCTATGCTCGACTTCTGCGAGTGCACCATCTCGCAGAAGGAGGCGACGGGACGAGTGAGGTAAAGCTCTCCTCACTACGCAGGAATTCGCCGCCGCCGAGCAGGGGGTCGGGACCGGGGTCCCGTCCGTAACCCGGCCCCCTAAGAGCTTCGGGCTCCACCCGCTTTGTGCGGGGAGGACATCGGCGTGGGGCGCCGTGGTAGGCCGCGTTCCCCCGACCGCTCCGGGGGAAGGTGTAGCGCGGCGCCATCAATGCGGGCTCTTGGCCCGTCGACCGAGGGAACTGGCGGTCGTGTCGCTGGCGGCCGCCGATCCGGCGTCTGGGGGACGGCGGAATGGATGTAATATGCTCTACGTAAACCCAGTCCCACCGTCTCAATAGTTCCGACTGGTTTCCGGCCCGGTCCAGGGTAGGGTGTCGGCTGTGAGCGGTGGCAGGTTTTAGTGATGTTCAACTCCCACATACCGGAATCCGGCGATTTTCTCATGTGGAAAAAAAAGACCCGTCATGACATATGCGAGTGTGGTATTCACTCACGCGGCCCACACACACGTAGACACCCTCCAAGCCCCTAATCACATTTTTGCTGGTTAGCCGTCACGTAAATGTTTTACACAATTTGACACGTAAAAATATTTTCTTCGGTATTCGCGATCCGTACACATATTATGTAATCAAAATTACTTCGAATGTCAACCTTCATGATTATCTTAGTCATCGGTGACCACGAAAACTTTTAAAAAAGAAACATCGGAACTTGTTAATATAACAATAAAAACTCATAATCAAATCGTAAAAGTAGTCTTAATTACGTAAACGTAACTATAATTAATGGAATACGTATTTATTTTTGTGTGTTAATATTGAACATATTAAACGTGCTGACATTGTCCACTGCAAATACATATGTATATCAATACGAGATTTTTTCCTCTAGATGAGTGGACGAATTCACAGGTCACCTGGTGTTACCTATATGGTTGGGTTACTTTGGTACTACAGTTAGGCTAATAGACCACCGAGCATGTGTTTATGTTCGTGAACGTGTCCAAATGAGATAGATACATTTATTTTTACAGAATTCTTTATCAGTGTGTCGATGTTACAGACAAACATCTATTGGAGCTATTCGTCCGAGGATGTCGAATGGACTTGGATCGGGCTAGATCAAAACTGGAAGCATTTTGTATAGCTCGCAAACGTCATAGGGACCTCTACGAATACATATCTTTGAACGAACCTCCTCTCAACGATGTTTGTAAATTTTGGTGAGATTTTGCAAATGCTATCTACTTTTTTTTTAATTTTTATGCATACATAATTAGTATATCGGAACGATATGAGATCGCACTCAAACCTCGGGTAGCGACATTCACACTGTGATGTCTATGAACTCTATATACCTAGTCATCGCTATCTATCCTAAAAATAAAGTTAAAGGGATCTCGAAAATACGAATTATAATTTTATTATCCCTATTTATATCAACTAGCGGTCCCCCGGTAGTCGAATTTCGACTACAATGAATTGAAATTATAAGTTATTTTATTTCCTATAATCACAGATTTCGCCAAGGCTACATTAAACACAATATTAATCTATTTTCAATTTGACCACAAACTTGGAACAATAACTAAAGTTTGACAATGAACGAAGAGTATAATGCGTGTGTGTGTCATGTTTCTTTTATTGATTTAATTGGGCATATTATTTGGGCATAATTCATAAAAAAAATTAGCATTCTGCACTCCTTCTCTATATTTTCTATAAGTGTGGGAAATTTCATACTCCTCCGTCCGCGGAATTTTCATAAAAAAGCGTACAAAGTTTTTGCTTCACGTATTAATATATAGATACTACCGTTTAAACTATTACGACTATTAACATTAACGTTTACTCAACAGTGACATCGCAACTCTTCCAAAACTGACCGATGAAGGTTTGAGAATAACTGTATTCATAATAAAGCCCGGATACCCCGAGAGTTCTGCTGATGTGACGGCAGCAGTTCGCGCCACATTACTCTTGAGCGACGCTCGTATGAAGGACGAAACACTTATAACCGGGGACGTGTTTATTTATGAGGTTGGTATACCACTATTTGAAAACATTGTAGCTGAACGGAAGAGACGACTAGGTTTTGAATTCCATAGTCTTAAACAGTTAAGACATGGACTGAAAAGTGTATCCGATCAAGGTTGTAAAGCAGTTTGACCGACAGTTAGTAGTAGCAACTGAAAATGTTCATTTTAAATCACATTACATAAAATTTATATTATATACATAAAAAACATTCGTTCGGATCGAATAAAAGTTACATTGTTCCAAAATCTTCTGTTATAATAATAATTTAAAAATTCATTAAGTTATTGCGCCTTGCTCATTTTTTTAACCGTCTTCGCCATCTTCCTTTTCTCTGTCATTCTGCCTGTCGTTTTGTCTGTTATTCTCTTCTCCCTTTCTTTCCGTTTTCTCTCACACGTTAACGCTCCGTTCCACACTCTTTTCATACGTTCCGTTCTTACCAATCCTACTTACAATTAATTAAAACCAACCTTATTATTTATTTTATTTATCAGTCTCCTTTATGTTAATAGTTCATTAAAAGCGTGGTTGCTTCTCAAAGCGCTCTTTTTATTATAAGCTGCGTACGTATTACATAATTACACGATGTATATTAAATTCGTAGTTGAAATGCAATGGTTTTGCGTGTGGTTTTGAAATATTCTGAGCTAAATAAGAAGTCAATCCTGTAGGTTTCAAAGGTTAGAGGATCACTAGTGGCTCGGGTCGCTGCAGCTGCCGGTGCAATCAGACGAGGCATCCAACTCGCACAGGCGGCTTACCCTCAGAGGCTCAAAAGAATCCACGTCGTTGGAGCACCGACGTTTCTGGCATCGTCTTTACAGCTCATGAGGAATTGCGTGAACGAGAAAATCAAGAGACGGGTAAGAATGTTTACAGAAATTACACCATGCATGTGATTACTCCAAAGCTGGTTGGATTGGATTGCCGTAGGATTGAAGTAGGCAGCATTCCTGTGCTTCTGGCATTTCCACTCTCTGTCGAGTGGAGTCCAGGAAAGATATAATACCTATTCGTGTCTGTCTGTAGCGAGGAAAATTCTTATTCGATCATTAGTAAAGTCCGGCCTTGCAATCCTATCCTTTCAAAATTTAAATAGAGGATATTACTGTATTAAATGTATGCCAATTAATTTGTTGCAATTATACGATGAACGCGAACAATTATTTAATTTTAATTATCACAAAAAAAAAGATTGTAATAATACCTAGTAGTTTAGCGGCCTTAAGAATAAGAAACGTAACGAAACATGTAGTTAGCACATGCTCATACTTTAGTACAACCCCTCCTGGCTGAGCACTTGCTCGCCCACCTACCCTGGTAAAACTGGAAAGGCCTCCGGGCCACCAGTAATCTCTAACATATAAAAAAAAAACTTTAGTACAAACACGAAGTAATAACACCGTGTAATAAAAATAATTCCAGAAAAAGTTACAAGTTTTGTTAAAGTTTTGTTAGTTGTGACCGTAGTGTAAGCCCGCACGTGTACCATCAATATATCTCCTCATCTGGCTCCTCTTCCTGTGTGTCCGATGTTAGGGCATCCATTATTAGGATGAACAGGTAAGGGCTTAAAGCTGATCCCTGGTGTAAGCCTACCGCCACACTAAACTCGTCGGTATCGCCAGCTGCGGAGCGTACGTACGTACCAGCTCTACTAGTACATAGCTCGAACAAGCCGCTGGTATTACCCTGGCACTTCTATCACTTTCGTGCTCCACCACAGAACCCCAATTACGGGCGCTTAATATACCGAGACCGAGAGGGTACTATTGAACACGAGCACCATGCTTAGAATAGTCCTTAATCATTTTATATTGACGTCAAACCGAATTTCCACTAACATAAGTTGTAAGTATGTTTACCGAAATAGTTATAACTTTTTTTATTTGAACAGCCGTAACCTTCGATCGTTACTGTGTTCATGTTTATTAAATTGTCTGTTTTTATTAGGAATTTTGACGTAGTCACTCACGTCTATAGAGAATTTGCTAACACTCATTTTAGATTTCGGGTTTTTTATTGCATGCATCAAAGGTCAACGAACGAACCTGTTCAACACCTGTTTGCTCTTTAATCCATGTTTGATTTGAATATTATTAATTTAATTGAAATCTCTTAAATTTAATATTAAAAAAAAAACCTATATGTATTTATGGTCTTAATATATATAGGCACAATTTTAGTGTAATATTACTATACCTACATACTCTATTTTATTTTATATACCTACTCTATGTACTTAAATTCAAATAAACTTATTGTTCCTACAATATTAGGTAGGTAGCCTAAAATACACTAATTTCCTAATTTTGTTTCGTCACGATAAATAAAGTTGCGTACCAGTTTTTTTTATAATGTCCCCTCAAACTTTTAAAACCAGTCCAAAAGTAACCTTATTACGTCTAATCTTCTTTGTGGTTAAAATAAATGAGCTACATAACTATCGAATATAAATCTATATACCATGCCATATACCATGGGGCAACTCTTTGTTTGGGCGATTTAAATTGAATTGATCATTCCAATTAAGAATACATCAATTATATTATATTGTTTCTTTATTTTTTATATTGGTAACCGATGGCCTATTTTACATGACTAGCGTCAAAACTTATGTCTGTTTTTTTTTAATGTTTTAACAAACGCCTAATAAAAAAATACTTAATTTAGGGACCCAATTAACCTTATCAATTTATCATATTTTTAGATAGGTATAACATGAAACATGAACTTCCATAAGTTCTACATACCTAAATACCTAATAGAAGTATAGTAAATATCTAAAAGTTTGATAATTATAAACAGATTCAAGTCTAAAAAGTTCATTGATGACTCGGGAGAGACAATGAAGGTCCATTTTGTATTGTGACAACAGTATTAGTGTTATTGCAAAATGGCACGCAGAGCTGTTTTATCGATATCTGCATTCTTCAAGGGCGAATGATTTAAATTAGGTTATTGAGTCATTGAGTAGTTTAAAATGCAAAAAATTATGGTATATATTTTTTAAAATCTTAAGGCTTAAAAATCGAAGCCGATTTGTTCTGGAACAACCTTTGCTAAATAAATAAACACATCTGGCCCCAAACTAAGATACTCTGTAGTATGGGGACCAATGACTGATATACATACTCATATAGGTTAAAACCTATTTAAATTAATCCCAAATAAAAACTAACCAAACTTGCCACTCGAATGTTTGCTTGAAGTGAAAATCGAACCTACGAGCCTCTGCCCAGTTAGGAGCACAAACTACTAAGTCACCGTATCAGTCAATCCAAAAAATACGATTTAATGTTGGTATGGCAAGCTATTAAATGATAAAAAGTATTCATACCTTCTAAATCTATTGTTTCCAGTATTACTTACACGCAAAAGTAGAAGAATTGTTTGAGCACTTCCCTGCACGTGTGATCCCTGAAGAATGGGGCGGAGAGGAAGAATCAATAGAAGCACTCGTCAAGAAATGGAGATGTCGCATTGATGAAAGTCGGGACTTCCTACGCAACCTCAACGAGATGGGGGCCAGTACTGCAAATGCATCGGTTCCTGATACCGACATTTATGGCACGGTCGGGGCATTTAGAAAATTAGAAATTGATTAATTGTTTCGCAAACAGGCACAGATAAAAACATGATGATTACTTACATTACTATTATATTGAAAATAAAATAACACCATCACCAAAGAATTTTCCAGCAAAGTCTTGGTAAGCTCATTTGGTCTGGAAACTGAAAAAAAATATTCTATAATGAAAATAAAGAAACTTATATTGTAGGGTAGGTAAAAATATATATATTCTAGAACGAAGTTAAATAAAGTTAGTAACGTAAGTATCTTAGTTAATTAAACGTCATTGTGATATTAGTTCATAATTGAACTAAATTGATAAACGATATTTTATAGTTTTAAGTTTAGTAATAATTCGGCTGGTTTAGTTTGGAAAAAATAAAAAGAATTTATTCAATAACGCTTTGTTTTTTTTACTAACGTAAATGGTCAAGGGGCCTTGTCACCCGGATGTAAGGGCTACCTACGGTCGCTCACTACACCTTGGGACTCTTTCAAACCTTTTTGAAAAAGAACGCTCGCCATCATAGCTGTGAAGTGGTTCAGAGCCGGGTTAGTGGCAAAAATGTTGCTTAATAAACCTCGAACTTTGACAGGTCAGACTTATGAGACGAAATGACGTGTTTTGGGCGACGTCGACTGTTTACCATTCGGTCTGCAGGATCGGGAATGTAGTTACCGGTGCCCACGATGAGAGGATTCTCGTATCGTGCCGCTTTCTGGTCCATGTCGTCGTGGAGGTCCACATACCCTGGGGCTCCGGCGGCTATCCTGCAAAATGGGATTGGATTATTTGGAGGAGTTTCAAGTTTGTACGGGCCGCGTGAGCGAACACTACACTTGCATAGGTCATGACCGGACGTATACAAGTTTTGTAGAGTGTCACCTTATTCCTAATGTCGGTCGATGGTTGCAAATTGTTGCGATGCAAATATTTAATTAATTATTTTCATTTTTTTTTTTTTATTACTACGTTTTACTGGTTTTTTTTTCAAATTGTTATTTTTGTTTTACGTTTTACTTTAATTATTTAATTCTAGGCGATGCGATGCCACAATCGTTTGTAGTTATTTAAATGCGGAGACATTTAAATGGTGTTTAGTTGTAAGTTTAGATTTTATATAGTTTAAGTTCACTGTTTGTCTTCCATTTAAAATAAAATAAAAATTTAAAAAATCCTAAGGGACAATATACTTCGCTTGTAAATCATCGGATAGAAGGGGCAATGCAGAAAGAACCTAAAGGTACGTACGACGCATACCTACAATAAATATTACATTCTTATTAAAGTATAAAATTATTTTATACTATATAACTTTAAAGAAAATAAATAGTCAAATATGACAGTATGCTGGAAGTACTGATGATCCTATGAACACATTACGTACTGATTTACACTAAGAAAGTATTAGGTAGGTATATATGATGTAACTATGCACTTGGATTCAATTTTCGCAAATAAGCAGACTATTACAGAGATGGACTGCGATAACAAAATCAAATTGGGCCCCAAATTCTTGTGTGCCCAAGGGCCCCAGCCTAATTTAAGACGTCCCTGAGCACAATTACAGGATTTTGACATATTATTATGTTAGAGCAGTGATTCTCAACCACTGTGCCGCGGCACTTTTGTGTGCCGCCAAATTTCAAAAGTGTGCCGCCAAATTTTGCAAATATATAATAATGCTAATATTATTAAATTATATCATTTAAAAAGAAAAATATTTTTAACATGAATATATATTTAAATCCACAAAAAAATAAATTAAATTATTATTTGCTTTGCAACGCGGTTTTTCTTAGTGCCAAATTATGATGAAGCGGCGTGCATAGCAATAGGAATATGTTTCAAGTCGGCGCACACTTGCCACTTCTGCGTACAAAACGTGTTGTTTTAGTGATAGTTGGGATTCACAAGGTGTTGCATAGTAGTTACTGCACCTTTTCTTTCGTTAAAATTGGCAAATGTGTGTGATTCGGTAGTAAATAAATAATTTTTATCCTTTTCTTTGTGTGCCGCCAAATTTTGAAATCGTTAAATATGTGCCGCAACAAAAAAAAGTTTCAGAATCACTGTGTTAGAGTAAGACACATCGATAATCTAATCAATAAAATGTAAAAGAGATTGAAATAACAAAAACTCAATGTAATATGGAGAAAAAAACTTAAAACGATATAAAGACCATGGAGTATTGTTATAGCAACCCTAACGCCTGCCGCGTGGGCATGCGGCAGACGCGTCAGATCGCGCGCCGCGACCAATCAGGGACTCTCGTTGCCGGCTCCCGGCGACGTGACAAATACCCAGTGCTCCAGCTGGACAACACAAAATTGTCCATTTTTTGTCAAATTGCTGCAGTTTGAGAAATCCAAATGACGGTGTTATGAATTATTAAGCCGAGGCATTTTATTTCAGAAGTAAAACAGATTGTCCATTCGTAATTTAAATATTTAAAGCTTATAATAGTTGTTCTATATTAGGCACATAATATTAGTAATACGGCATTCCCGATCCTGCGGAAAGAATGGAAAGCAGTCGACGTCGCCCCAAACACGTCATTTCGGATCCTCCCGATCCACTAACGGTGCTTTTAGGTACCTCAAGCACCGGTCACCGTTCTCGTCGAACCCGTCGTTTGCGACGAAGGGCTCGACGAGTGAATTAACCCTCAGACACAGCCCACTGAGTTTCTCGCCGGATCTTCTCAGTGGGTCGCGTTTCCGATCCGGTGGTAGATTCTGCGAAGCACAGCTCTTGCTAGGGTTCGTGTTAGTAACGTCGTCAGGTTTGAGCCCCGTGAGCTCACCTACTAGTTAAGGTTCCGCTGACATAGCCTCTCAAGGCTATCAGCTTAGGCAGGAAAAAAAAAAGTAATACGGCGGAAGCTGCCAATAACAATCATTAATATGTACTCATTCTTGCCACTGCGTCACAACTCACAATACAACTAGAAAATTTTAATAATTGTAAAATGGTAAGTGTGATCCTCCCGAGCTTGATTTGTGTATCAGTTATCAAAGTAAGTGGTAAATCTACACTGTTTGTTTTAATGTTATGAAGAAAATCATTCATTATAAAATGTTTAAGTCATTTCCTGATCTGGGCTGTTCCAATTTAATTTTTGCAAATATTTTCGACTAAGTGTGACTGAGTCACTTTCCGGTTCCCATACTTACGGCGGAGTACGCTAGTTTCGACAGGTAGGTAACGCTGGATTTACACTAAGTATCGCCCTAAGACACCGTCAGAATCGCTATTACCTTTAGTCTACATAAATTTAGTAATAGTTCGAAGCATTATTTTTTTGGAGTACCTTACTCGCAGTTGAAAACTTTGAATAACGTTTAATGAGTATTGTAAGATGACATCAAATGAAAATCGAAGAAAAAACGGAATAAAAATAATTATTAGGTAAATGAAAAAAAATCACAACTACATCCAAAATATTAACTAAAACCCGAAAACCATGCTATGCTAGTTATGTAAGGGGACAAACAAATTCAATATAACGACATATATAATATATAACATAGAATATAGCCGTAAGAAGCAACAGTGTACTTTCAACGCATAAGTAAAATCTAATTTGTTGCTGACGGTCATAGCTACGATACATAGCTTCCACAATCCACAGTCGAAAGTTTCGCGAAACAAGGACGATGAAAAAAATCTATTTTGAGTTTGCACTTATACACTGTCGTAACCAAGCTAGTTCTGCCAAGTGGGACTCCACCCGGCTGCCAGGTGCTTGCTCAACAATGGTGAAGCCAAGTCTACTTGCATTACATTACGGAACACAAAATTGACTTTTTGGCGGGAACGCGAGGAGTGAAGTTGTGTGATTTTTTTTATTTTGTCTATTTAGCGTTTCTTCAAGTTTAAATGTGTAATAACGGTAGTTTATAAACTGTTTAGTATCTGTGAAAGTGCACAAATGTGGGAAAAGCAAACAAAGCCGCTGAACGTAACTTATCGAGATCCTACAAAAAGTCAATTGAAAAAATCTCAGTAAATGACCACTATTTTACTGAGATTATATTTCATTACCATATCATCTCATCTCGTTTCATTTCATTTAATTTCACTTTATATTATCATTTTTCATAAAAATAAGAACATAAATTAAAATAAGAGTTGACCTAAAGGTCTTAGTTACCAGGTCATAAAATCGCTTAAAAAAAAGGAATTCAAAATTTTATTTTGATTCGTGGCAATGATTTATACGTCAAATGTCAAAAATGACAACAGCAATGACAGATAAAATAATGTCATGTTACGTGGCCCGGGTCGAAAATTGAAGCATACGCACGCTCAAACGTAAAAGACCAAAATAAAACAAAAATTGTATGTGATTATTCACATTTATTAAAATGAAGTACTTAAGAATATCACAATGGCTGGTAGTAACTTTGTTAAACCTAGTTAGCAATGCGTACAGCTACACAGTCACAGTTGATGCACATGCCGAAGAGTGCTTTTACGAAAATGTAGAAGCCGATACCAAATTGGGTAAGACTATTCAGCTGAAATATGCTTTATTTGCTTTATCTTACACCATTTGCACTCAATAAAATCAAATACAAGTATGTAAAGAAGAAATAACAAATAGGTTTTTGTTTATGTTACATACCCTAAAATCTGTATGTTTGCACACGAAATGATAAACAATATGCGTGAATGAAAACCATACTTGCCGAATTTTCTGAAAGGGGATGCTTGAATTGATATATTTGGTCATTAAATTAGATCTTTTTATTATTTAATTTATTCAATAATGTTAATGTAATTGTAATATAATCTTGATATTTTCAGGATTATCGTTTGAAATAGCAGAAGGTGGTTTCTTAGATATTGATGTAATAATACTAGGCCCTGATGGCAACGTCATTCATAAAGCAGAGAGGGAGTCATCTGGTATTTATACATTTTCTGCTCCAACTGCAGGGAAGTATACTTATTGCTTCAGTAATAAAATGTCATCCATGACACCCAAGGTTAGTATTAACTTTAGACAATAGTAAGATTTCCAGTTTGATGTTGTACAGTAATTTTATATGTAACAGTAGAACCTGTCACAAAAAGTCTGTTTTGAAAATAGCAAACAACATTAGCTTAAAATTATGTAACAGTTAATATTTTAAAAATTGTGAGCTATATAAAAATTGTGAACATCTTGTCTTGCCTCATCAATAGAGGTGAAATCCAAAAATATTATTTGCATCCTTTTTATTATTTCTTCCTTTATGGATGAATCTTTAATATTCTTGTTAGTTATTTAGTTAAAATAGCTTATTGATGTTCTTTTTTAATTCAACTTAACATAAACTAAACATAGCTTAAAATTATTGTATCAGATACATTAACAAGGAGTTTCATTTGGTAAAGCATGTACAATTTTATTGTAATATTTTGTTAATAGGTGGTAATGTTCAATCTTGAAATCGGAGAACCACAAACTAAATCTGGTAATGAAAATGAAGCTGACCATAATAAACTTGAGGACATGATCAAAGAACTTGCTACTACATTAAGAACTATCAAACACGATCAAGAGTATATGCAGGTATATATTCTTGTATTATCTTACAGATAAATGATACCGAAAATAGATTAAAATATGAAAGTATTATTTTTTATTACATTAAAATCATTCCTAATAAAGTTATGCAAAATCTCAAGAACATACTAATTTCAGGTGCGTGATCGTATCCATCGTTCAATAAATGAAAGTACAAATTCACGTGTGGTGATGTGGTCTATATTTGAGGCTTCAGTACTGCTTGTCATGACTATCGGACAAGTCTACTATCTCAAGAGGTTTTTTGAAGTGCAGCGTGTTGTGTAATGTTAATAGACTTATTTTACATTACACGTGTTGGTGTGTGAAGTGTTGTATGACATTTAAATTATTTGTTTATCCAATGAGATGAAATAAGTTTTTGTAATATTAATAAATTTAAAATCTCCCTCTTTGTTTAATTCAAAACCAGAGAAATATTTCATGTAAATCAATATATTTTTCTACTAATAATGAGTCTACTAGACAGTATTTTATTAAATATCTAATTGTTAATGTATTAATAGTAGAAGCATGACTTAATGCACTATTTATTTTGTTTAGATATCATTGCTGAGCATTTAATACAACATCTGTACAAAGTTTCCTGCGGGTGTTTTCTATTTAAGCTTTTGAATTCTTTTTCATTTTATTAAATAAAATTCCATTTATTTATTTGTTTTTGGTGATTCAATTCACATTTTATGTGTGATATCTTAATAAAAGGGGTGATTCCCACTTCTTTCTAGAAAAAGATTAGAAATTCTCCCTAGTTAACAAACAAACACGTTTGTTTGTTTTATGTGACGTAGAGGGTGAAAAGAGTATTATCATCACTTTACATACACTGTGCATTATGCCTAATCCAGTTCCTTTCTAGGTATTTTAGGAAAAACTGTTTTACTGATGTTAGGACATCTTGTGAGTCCACACGGGTAGGTACCACCACTCCGCCTATTTCTGCCGTGAAGCAGTAATGCGTTCCGGTTTGAAGGGTGGGGTAGCCGTTGTAACTATACTAAGAAGTTAGAACTAATATCTCAAGGTGGGTGGCGCATTAACGTTGTAGATGTCTATGGGCTCCAGTAACCACTTAACACCAGGTGAGCTGTGAGCTCGTCCACCCATCTAAGCAATAAAAAAAAAGATGTTGGGTATAAGGTGAAAAAAAGAACAGATTAAAACAACAAATTTTATTTAACAAACCATCACCAAAATATTCGAGATTTTTTTTACTACATGAGAATTGCTACCAAAGAACTTATTTCACAAACAACAAAAAGGAACTTAAGGAAAATTTCTACACCCACTTAAACAAATTGGGCTAAAAAAGATTAAGCCTTTTCAATTTGACATATTCATACATTTATAGGTACTCTGTTTATAAAACTATTTTTATTTAGTTACATTTAAATAATTTCTAATAAATTGAAACTATTTTCATGGATGGAGATAATTTTCGAGGTATGATTTCGAAGGAAATGTTTTATTAGGATCTATTTTGAAGATGATTATTTGCACTTTAATTCGGCCAAAATACATGTTTTTTTTAAATCCATAATAATATTTTAGTTTGTCCATGCTAAACCGCTAATTAGATGAACCAACTCTTAATGCATCTTTGAAAACCTACTTTTCATTTATTTAAAGTATATAACGATGTAATTCTGGTTAGTATACTCTCCAAACAAACTATGTATAATTATTTAATTCTAAATTTAGAGCAGAGTACCTCTGACAATTAATTTAGATAATAATAAAATAAATGTAAAATGTATGCAAAAGATCTTTCAATTACCTATGCAAATATTGCATTCGAGACTCAAGGAAATAATTTATCACAATCATCACTTGATTCCTATTTTTAACTAGGTAAAACAAGCTTTACAAAGAACTAGGAGACCTCATAGGGATTTCACAATTAGAAATAAAAAGATAACATACACATTTAAAAATTATAAACAATATAAAACTGAGCAAGATTTGAGGTTGTTTTATATACTTTGGCACAATTCACATTTCACCTAACGTTAAGGTAGCTCTTACAGACTAATTCGTGTAGTTCTCTTCATAATCCAAAATGTAATTTAATTTCTGTTATAGTTTAATCTTAAATGTTCAATTTACACTAACAGATTTGCTTTTAATTATCGTGACCGATACGCATGTAAGTATGCAACAAGGTATTGCCTGCATTCTCAATGTAAGGCTTTCGTAAGCGTTCGACTTAGTGAAGATTACGTCAATCTATTTACACAGTTTACTTCTGCTTAAGAATGAATGGCTTTAAAAACTTATGTAAAACTTAAACATGAAATGACATCTAGTGTGTTTTGATAAAAAGAAACGCAAGTAGATCTGTGTGCTTAGTGCGAGTTTTTTAACGTTCTCGATAGCGTAAAAGTTAGCTTATATTTGTACGGAATGGAATCGTTTGCCTACGTTTACCGCTAGGGGCGCTGTTCTAACTGCATACAAAATTGGGTTAACCTTTACACTATCGAGAACGTTAAAAAACTCGCACTAAGCACACTGCACCTTGAGATTAAAATCTGCGGTTCCATTGCTACGCACAGGAACGTTTGGTATGTTTTACTTAGCTTCACTTTATATGAAGAACGGCATGTAAGTCACAGTTTGATGTTGTCGTTAACCCCTCGTTTATATTAAACACCCGACCGCGCGTGGGGCGTTTTAGCAACGTCAGTTAAAACGTAAATATGCTGCGTAAGGAATAGACACGCAGATGTAGAAACGTATACATTTCTGGACGCCGGACGCGCGTGTGATTTTTGCGTACATGCTACGCAGCAATGGAATCGAAAAGAGAGAAAACATGCAAACAAAGAGAAGTGTTTTTAAATGTGAATACCTAGTAGGACGTGCCAGTTATATTTGAATAGGGGATTAGACTGCGCTGTTGTGTAGCGTCCCGGTGACGAGCGCGGGCACGATGGCGCCGGCCGGCAGCCGGGGGTGCGCGGGGGAGGCGGCCGGCAACTCCACCAGCACGCTCGCACCGCACGCGCTCAACAGACGACTACTGCACTGTACGACATAAACATAAACTTCATATTAAAATTTATGCCCTCCCTGCACATACACGAAGTAGTTTCGACTACCTGTCGGATTCACTGTGTTAATTTAATTTTAATGCGTTCAACGCCGTGCGGCCCACCGGTGAGCCTGGCTTACTATAAAATTCGGGCCTAGACCAAAATCAGGGAATCCGTAATTTTTATCCTATGCCTCTTTCTATGGCATAGGATAATAATGCCTATTTCTGCGGTGAAGCAGTAATGCGATCCGATTTGAAGGGCGGGGCAGCCGTNGGGCATGTCGTCGTCCTGGGACACGTCGATGTCGGCCCGCGCGTACTCCGGGCGGGGGTCGAGCGCGACGCCGTGCGCGAGCTTGGCGCGGAGTCTGGGCCACGAGCCCCTCTTGCCGCTGCACACGCGCAGACCTCGGATCACGAACAGCAAACAGCAAACGTAGGCAGAAACTGGATTACCTATCGAACAATTAATAAATTACATTATTTTTTCTCGTTAAAATATCGGGAGTATTAAATACCCGATTCTTGCAACTTGCAAAAAGGTATCCGAAATTCCCAGTGCACTTTATTAGTCTAAGACGATCTGTTCTATAAGTGTTGAACAGTGATTGCGTGATTGGTGTTTGTTGCCTGTGTTAACTTTGTATATTATTGTTTCTTCTTCTAGTATGTCTATTAGAACAAACCGTCTCCGTTGCAGCAAATATAATGGATGGCTGGTTCAATATATCTGCTATATTATATAATTTAATAAATATTAATATAAATAACAAAGAAATGTTTTACCAGGCAATGCAAAAATAAATTTAGTTTTTCCTTCAAACTGGCATGTTGCAAAAGTCGACGGCTTGCCGGGCTTCATGCGAACGCGTCCATAGTGAAGTGTTGCACCGAAATCCTGAAGTCAGAATTTAAAACAATTCGACACAAATTTAAACAATTTAATAGTAACCACGGCTAGTCCTTCAAACTGAAACGCTTACTGCTTCCCGGCAGAAACAGGCAGGGTGGTGGTACCTACCCGTGCAGACTCACAAGAAGCCCTACCACCAACACTAAAAAATCTCTAAGTCATCCAGCAAGTAGGTATATACCAGTTAAAGTCTTATCTTTATTGGTTCTAGATTTTTTTCTAATCTATTGTACCGAGTTTCTTCACAATCGAATAGAAAGTATTGGAACGCACGGATGACAACAAGAAATTCAAAACAATTTTTATTTCGAATCGGAGGTCATATATGTAATGAATAATCAAATAAATTATCACCAGTTCCATAATGAGTCACATTTTGAAAATAACCAGGGACACAAAAACAACGGGCTTGTTTTTTTTAAAATATATTGTTTAAGGTAAAAAATACATAAAAAAAAAAAAAATTGGAACGTAGTTATAAATTATTGTATGTATGTATTGTCATCGATCATTGATACTTATGCAAATTTTCAAGTTAAACGGGCATCTTGAAATCGTTCAAAGATTCCGTTACATACATACATACATATCAAGTTATCGACGTCCCACTTGTCCTGGTGAGACCTGTGCCACTAGCAATCCTTCAATCATAAAAAATAATAATCTATCGACGTGAAATAATAGACTGACAATAAAATTTCGATTAATTTACATGCTCATATATTTGTAGACTATTTTAACAGTACCTAGGTAAGTCTAAGTAGTAACTCATATCTCTAGGTGGGTGGCGCATTTTCGTTGTAGATATCTATGGGCTCCAGTCACCACTTAACACCAGGTGGGCTGTGGGCTCCTCCACCCATTTAAGCAATAAATAAAAAAAGGATGCGTACGTTTAATAATACTGGCTTCAGTAAATCTTTCTCGCCCATCGACACGCCTCCGGTGCAGACCAACACGTCGGCCTTGGTCAGGGCGGCCGATATACCGGCCACTAGCTCTTCGGGAGAGTCACGACAAATACCGCAATCTATAGTCTGGTACCCGTGCTCTCTGCTCAAAATATAAATATTATTTATTGATTTCATTAACCTTTTGACTGCCATGTAGGTCACCCTACGTAGCGCACTGAAGTAATTATGTCGATTTTTGTTATTATTTTTGGTACGCAGCGGCTTGGCTCTGCCCCTGGCATTGCTGACGTCCATGAGCGACGGTAACCACTCACCATCAGGTGCCATATGGCCGAGCATACATGCCGAGCAGGTATGCTCGTCTGCCTATACTACAATAAAAATAATAATAATAATGTACGTTTTAAGGTAGCATTCTGATGTTGGCGACCAGGAGGACAAGTGACCGCGACTAGCGACCGCGACCCCGGTCGCCTGTCGCCTGACTACCTGGGGCATTCCGATGTCAGCGACCGCGACCGACGGCCAGTCTGCCCGCAGTTTTTATTGTATACAATTGTGTTCTAGTGCTCATATCGGACAATTTAACCGCAACTAGGAAAAGAGCTATACGGATTTTATTAGAAGAAGAAGATGATACACTCATTTTATTTGCCTTGCTTTCGGAAACAAGAATTTTGCCAATTTCTTCCCAAATATTGTCTCGAATAACATTATCTTGATATAACTGAAGTGTCGAATCGTATATAGGTAGGTTTATGGACACTAAATCTATTAATTCGTCATCATGTGTGGAAAATGACGCCATTTTGACGTGCAACGTAGGTGGGTCGCGCGGCGGCACTGCTCCGGTAGCAGTAGCGTGGCGCGACCAAGGTCGCTTGCTAGTCACGTCCACAGGTCGCGCGACCCGGTCGTGGTCGCCTGTCGCAGTCGTCGGTCGCGGTCGCCAACATCGGAACGCTACCTTAACACTGTGGAGGTGTTAATTTTGTTATTTAGTTTGTTGGATAACATTAATTTTCTCACTTCAGCAAGGCGCTCAGCATCGCTCTGTTGGAGTCCCGAATATGTGCTGGCCTGAGTTTCAATTCGGACGGCTCTTGTAATTCGTTTCCAGTTGACATCAGCGCCACCTAAAATTAATTCTAGGGTGTTAATAAACTTGTTCTAAATTCGAATCGTTTTTCGAGAAACTTTATATTTTCAACGGTCATTTAATTTTATTAGCATTGATAAATGATTACTGTTTGAATAAACACTACCGATCTGATTTATTAGAAGTGATGTGATCAAAACTGATAGTACCGTGGGACCGACGCGAACAGTGACCGACTGGAAACCAGCTCCCGCTAAAACTCCTATTTTAGCTGCATCTATAGATTCGCCTGTAAAATTATATTTTTAAATTAGACAATGTCTTACTAAACAACGAGACTCTGTCATTGGATAAGGACTTCTGCAATCCATAGTCTTTTCCTGCATAAAGTATGAGTACTGATTGCAAACAGTAGGTATACCTAAATTCATTTAACACGTTGACTGCCATGATAGACTATGCCCTACGCGGCGCACTCAAGTAAAGTCGATTTCAGTTACTAATCGTTTAGATTGTCTAAGTTTGCCTAGTTTTGTTAATGTACATGTTTTAGTCTTAGAAGCAGATTCATTCTGAATATCTTCGGATTCGTCTCTTCCAGAGTCTACTGTTTGTTTACTGGTGGTAGGACCTCTTGTGATTCCGCACGGATAGGTACCACCACCCTGCCTATTTCTGCCGTGAAGCAATAATGCGTTTCGGCTTGAAGGACGGGGCAGCCGTTGTAACTATACTGAGAGCTTAGACCTTATATCTCAAGGTGGGTGGCGCATTTACGTTGTAGAAGTCTTTGGGCTCCAGTAACCACTTAACAACAGGTGGGCTGTGATCTCGTCCATCCATCTAAGCAATAAAAGCAATAAAAAATATATTATAATAGACGTTGCGGCGCCTTAGTAACAGAAATCGGCATAATTACTTCAAGTGCACCACGTACGGTAGCTTTTTTTTTTTTTTTTTTCCTAACTAAGCTGATAGCCCTAGCGGCTATGTCAGCGTAACCCTAACTTTAGTAGGTGAGCTCACGGGGCTCAAACCTGACGATGTTGCTAACACGAACCCTAGCAAGAGCCGTGCTTCGCAGAATCTACCACCGGATCGGAAACGCGACCCACTGAGAAGATCCGGCGAGAAACTCAGTGGGCTGTGTCTGAGAGTTAANGTGAGCTCACGGGGCTCAAACCTGACGATGTTGCTAACACGAACCCTAGCAAGAGCCGTGCTTCGCAGAATCTACCACCGGATCGGAAACGCGACCCACTGAGAAGATCCGGCGAGAAACTCAGTGGGCTGTGTCTGAGAGTTAATTTACTCGTCGAGCCCTTCGTCGCAAGCGACGGGTTCGACGAGAACGGTGACCGGGTACGGTACCGGTGACCTACACGGCAGTCAACGTGTTAAATAAAACGATAATAATAAATTTAAGTACAATGTAGATCAACTTCTATTATGATAGACAGTACATAGCCGCCCCCATTTAAGTACCTAATGCTACCGAACTACTACTACTTCACTACAATAACATTGAATTAAATTTATTTCATTTGGCGTTTTAATTTTGCCCTATTTAGTCTTAATGAGTTGAATAACGTGATACATTACCTTTGTCTACAAGCGTGGCCCCCATTGCTATATCAAAACCAACTGGTCTAACATCTTGACCTGGCTCTGGTGCGATCAGTATCTCGATTTCCAACTCAGTCACGCCATCGTCAGACGCTAATAGCAATTTCGTATCCTCAACCTAGCAATTTTTACAATTAAACTTAATCGATATTATATACCTAGTCAGGTCATAAGTATTGTCACACAGTAAAAACTTTTCTTTTACAATGCTGGCCACAAAAAAGTTTATTGAATTCGAATTTCGAATTGTTCATGAAAATAAAAATGTATACTTTTAGAATTTTACTCATTTTTAAATATGGAGTGGACGCTTAAAGAAGACCGTGTTGCAGTTATTGCGTTGCATCGTTGCGNAAAAATTATTTTTTCAAATAATTATGGAATTTCTATAATATTAAGAATTATAAGTCGCCTCTTTAGTTTTTCTCTATATAACTGGTAGCCTCTAGAGGTTATTAAAGTTTCACCGCTTTGGTAGAAGAGCTCACGGGGCTCGGCCTGAGGGAATTTGCTAACACTGACGGATCGCAATAGCGACTCACTGAGAAGCTCCGGTGAAAGACTCCGTGGGTTTTGTCTAGTGTCTCAGTGGGTTAGGTAGGACGACGAACGCGTTCGACATATTTGACGAGAACAGTGATCAAGGCTTTGAAGATTAACAGCACCGAGAGTGGATCGGGAGGATCCGACATGACGTGTTTAGAGCGACAAAAACAGTGCATTGCCCCGTTGTCTGGGTCTGGAACCTAACTCGAAAATTCACAATGTATATCAATACACAAACAATCATTGGTCTTTCTGAAAATGTATTTAACGCATTATTTCAATAAGGACATTTTTTTTAATTTTCAGCCAGCCAGCTAGCCAGTTCCTTTCTACCCTAAGGAGATTGAAGACAGCGGAACAATTTTAAATAGATTTTGTAACTCTCCACATGCATTTTTCATTTCGAAATTACCCTATTCAATCTTTTAAAAAATATATAAATTGCTTTAAAATTGAATGTAAAAATCAATAATAGTATATTGTTCCATAGGTCGCATATTATAAATTATAAATTCATACTTGTACAACGCAATCGGCACCAGCCGGTAATGCAGCGCCGGTGTTGATGCGCACACACTCGCCCATACAAAGCGGTGTAGTCGGAGCATCACCCGCTGTAATAGCAGCATTCACTTTTCTAGGCCCAACACCGTCCGTACTCAGACACGCATACCCTGAACATATTACTTAAATATAATGATAGAAACATAACACATTATTTTTCATTGAATAAATTTATTTAAAAATAATGTGATGTATTTTTTACATTATTCTGAATACAGTAAAAGCTTTTCGCGCTTCCTTTATTCGCGGTTTTCACTATTCAAAAATGCTACCCAAATACCATATTCGCAGATCTAAACGGCACATCGGTACCTACTTACACATTGATAAAAGAATTCTAATATAAAAGGTATCCGACCGAATATCCTTTAAAAACGAGTTGTCAAATGGACTAATAAAAAAGTAGAATAGACGTTATTAAAACTATGCATAAAGTATTTTTTTATTTTGTCATCTAAACTACTTAACCTAACTTTTGTCAACTAAATATGTAAATTACCATTCCATATTCACGGTTTCTGTATTCGCGGCATATTTACGAAGAATATACCCCGCGATAACAAGCTTTTACTGTTTGGAATTATATTGTAAATGTCATAGTCTGTTACAATTAAAAAAAAAAAGTCTTTTTTTAAAATCTTGATCATGAATTATGTAATGTTTTTTAATTATGTGAATAATTAACAGAAATTAACACACTTCAACCGTTTTATAACAAGACACTTTAATAACAATAAAACTGATGATGAATGGAAACTCCAATTGAATCAACAGCGGCTTTACTTAATATGTTCATGTATCCAATGGAAAATTATTCATTAGATATTAAGTATGTTTTATATTTTTTGAATTTATGAGAAATCAAGGGTTGATGAATATGCATTTTTATAAAGTTTCTTATTTGTCTCAGTTGATGGTTGATAATTCTATTTTATATTCAAATTTAATGAACCATTTTATTGAAATTATACACAGCAGCCTAATTTAGGGTCAGATGACTGTATGATTTGTCCCTGATTATTAATAATTTTATTTAAAAATACCCACCATCTTTAACGGAAGCTGGAAATGGCGGCATTGGCTCTTTTGCACGCAGAGGTTGAGCAACTACCCTACCAAGTGCTTGATCTAAAGGTACAATCTCTAACATTTCATTCCACTGTCCCATTACTGAATCTACAATCTTACAGGCTTCAGCCATTTCAATCATTGAATATGGGGATGCTCTTGGTCTTAGTGCTATCTTTGTAATATCTACGTTGCTCCTATGTGGACACAAATGACTAAATTGCAATGAATCATGTATTGTTCTAACTTCTGACAATTCATTCCGTACTAATGCTATTGCATGAGGCAGAATTGGTTTGATGACTTCAAAGCATTCCAAGACAGCTTTTTTGCTTCCTGGTAAATTTACGATTAAAGTTTTATCACGCAATCCTGCTACAGATCTTGAAAGCATAGCCATAGGAGTTTTTTTTAAGCTCTCCAGAGTTAAGGCTACAGATATACTGGGAATTTCTTTGTGTATAACAACTTTTGTAGCCTCTGGAGTGACATCCCTTGGGCTTAGACCTGTTCCTCCTGTTGTTAGAATTAAGTCTAGATTACTATCACAAAAATATTTCAGTTCCCTTTCAATCATTTCTCGTTCATCAGGTACTATTATTGTGTGTAAATTGGAGTCAGGAAATAATTTTTTAACTAAATGGCAAAGTGCTGGACCAGATTCATCTTTGGAATTATCTTTGAAACAGGTGTCACTCACAGTGATGACTGCTACTGCTTTTATCATTTTCTCCTATTTAAATACAAAAAAATATTTTAATTTATTAATACCTACAGAGAAAACATGGAATTATGCATTCGTTCGAAAAAATAATATTACAACCATTTTTTAGATAAATATTGTAATGTTATTTACATTTATTAGCAATTTTTCCAATATTTAGTGTATTTAAAATTAGCAGACTACCAACGGAAAGTAGGTAAGGTTAATACAAAATTAACTTTAAGCTTCTGGCGGGTACTTACAAAATACTTCGAAATTTAAATATAATTTTTTGTTGTTAATCACAACTTTTGTGTTCACTATCACTAATTCTCTTACTTTACTTTACTCAGAGACTATTATGAGATGTTCAGGCATAAATTAATTTAAACAATTGATAAGCGAGCCGACAATTACAATCAATCACGCAGATAATGACTGTTTGCCAGTGTTTGTGAAAAACTGCAAGACAAAGGGTGGCCAGGTGTGAATTTCCCAATTTCGCCACTTTTTTTTTTGTAAATTCTTTTTAGCACCGTTATGAGTTTTAACGCGAAACCATAAAAAATATAGTATGCACAAAAACTGAAATAAGAACACGACCGTGTTAATGAATTTCGCTGGCAGCAGAGAGCCTCTTTTTTCACATGCTATCGAGTACTCAATTCAGAAAATTAGTATTAGTAGTAGTCTAGACACAAAAATAATATCAAGAGTCTAGATTTGGTCAAAATCCTCGTGTCGTAGTTATTAAGGCGTACAAGTACACAGGAGAGAATTAAACTCAATGCATCATCGTATCAACATCGTATCATCGCACAAACAGACTGTAATTGGAGGGTCAGTAACGAATTTTTTTTATTGCTTTTGTAGGCGGACCAGCATACGGCCCACCTGATGGTGACCGTCACTCAATGAAGTTCAGCAATACCAGGAGCAGAGCCAAGCCGCTGCCTACCATTAAGTACTTTCCACGAGCCTCATTTGAAGAAGGACATGTCGCCATGTCGTAGCGCACGGAAAACACCGTGGAGGAGAACTCAATTCAAAGCCGGATAGTACGTGGCAAAAAAGATCTCTGGAATCGCATGATATGATTTTTGTATGAGGGAACGTATAGAACTCCACGTCATAGTGAAATAGTCTCTAACTATGGTACGATAAAAAAAGGATTGTGCGGTTTTATGAAACCACGGTAAAACTTTTTTTACATTATAGACATTTAACTCTGACAAACAAGATTTACATTAAGCACTGACAAAAACAAACAAAATAGCGTGGAGCGCTGGCACAAATGAGTAATAGTGTATACACTACACAGTCAGCTGCTGCGAACTATAGGTGCCACCATATTGGCCTTGGCTGCTCTGGCGAGCGTCTATCACTTTATCCTTAATGCGCGGCCGACCGTCACGCGACATGCAATACACAGACGAAATTTTTTGAGACGATGTAATAAAAGTTTCACTTTAATATAACTGAAAAAAATGTAATGCCATTTAATCCATAATCTTCCGTATTGCCGTATACCCTCGAGACTGTCGAGTCGTGGCAACTAATGCGGCGTGGTAGCCAGTGCGCTTGCCTGACTTAGATCTCGTAAAACAAATGTGTAACGTGGAGTACAAGTTGAGAAAAAATCCTACCTCAGTTAATTTCAGAACAGAGATCTTAAAAACGCATTTTTAGAAGAATATAACTAAATCTCTAAAGATTTTATTAATAATTTGATTAAGGATATACCAAGCATAACAAAAGAAGCGGTTCAAAGAGCTTAATTGAAAATTTTCTAGTTATAACCATGAGAGCCGCGATCTTACTCAGTCGACTCAAGAAGTAAATTGTCTCTGCGTAATAAAGTGATTCATTCTACAAAACTCGCATACGTTCCGTCATGCATGACCTGTGCAAATGTAGTGTTCGCTCAATGTTTATATCACCCATATGTTTCCCGTAAATTTCAAATTTTTCAATCTTTCCACCCTACGGCTATGTGAGCAACCAATAATATTCGTGCACTGCATACCTACTTACCTACATATTTATTGTCCCAAAATAGTTGTTTTTCTTGTCTCTCATTTTTCGTAGCATAGATAATACGCGATTCGCGATAAAGTCTCGTTTGACCATAAAAAATTCAACATTTTGATCGAAGAATATAAATAATACTAGCTTTTGCCCGCGACTTCGTCCGCGTGGAATAGTTACTTTAGCATAACGCTAAATTTTACCCGCCTCTTCATTTATGGAGAAAGTGAAAATATTTTTGAATAATAGAATGATAAGGAGTTATTTAAGGTACCAAAATCACACTTTTCAACCGACTTCAAAAGAGGAAGTTATCAATTCGACCATAATTTTTTATCTATGTATGTTCACCGATTTCTCGAGAATCCTTGAACCGATTCTAATAATTCTTTTCTTTTTTTGTTCGAAAGACTTCCCGAATNCATTTATGGAGAAAGTGAAAATATTTTTGAATAATAGAATGATAAGGAGTTATTTAAGGTACCAAAATCACACTTTTCAACCGACTTCAAAAGAGGAAGTTATCAATTCGACCATAATTTTTTATCTATGTATGTTCACCGATTTCTCGAGAATCCTTGAACCGATTCTAATAATTCTTTTCTTTTTTTGTTCGAAAGACTTCCCGAATGGTCCTGTTTACATTAAGATCTGACGATGAGATCTTGGAGAAATCCAGAAAAATCTATAATTGTCAAAGCCTATCTTGAAGTGATTTGGGTGTTTCAATGTTGTAATGAATAACGTATTTATTTGGATAGGGATGAATATCATCTTTATAAAAACACCTTCACAAATAATGCTTTATTTTAGAACAAATTTGTTAGATTGTTAAATTAGAGCCAACCTTAATATATAGACATAATTATTATGATATCGCGCACTTTTTTTTAGATCTTTTAAAGGGCAACAATTCTCTCATACATTAAGTACTTTAGCGAAACTTTAACCGTTTCCGCACGCAGTGGAAGCTCTCAAAAGGGATTAAAACCCCGATTTTGAAACATTCTTTATTGGTGCTCCGCTTGCATTGGTCTTAGCGTGATGTTATATAGCCTATAGCCTTCCTCGAGAAATGGGCTATCTAACTCTGAATATATATTTTTAAATCGGACCAGTAGTTCCTGAGATTAGCGCGTTCAAACAAACAAACTCTTCAGCTTTATAATATTAATATAGATCACATTTGTTAAAGAAAATGAAAATTATTCATTTTGTCTACTAATATGTGAGTGGGATTGCGTAGGTTAATGTTTACGAATGTAGCCGGGCACTCCATCCTCGTGTTGTTTCGAAAAAAATTCACTATTACGATTATTGTGAGTTACGTCCCAGTCCCACTTTACTGCCATGTTCTCGTCAACTATTTTACTTACATTTAATCATGATATAGAAAATTTAGGAACGAGGGAGTCTCATCAAGCACCATCCTTTATGTCGTAATTAATCTATCTATCTATCTATATATATTATATAAAAATTATTTGCTGTTCGTTAGTCTCGCTAAAACTCGAGAACGGCTGGACCGATTTGGCTGATTTTGGTCTTGAATTATTTGTGGAAGTCCAGAGAAGGTTTAAAAGGTAGATAAATATGAAAATGTTCGGAATGAAATAAAAATAACAATTTTGTTTTTCCTTTGATGAGTCCCACGTCGGACGGATTCCTTTTGTCTGTTTCAAGTTTATTTTATACAAAAGCTTCGGTCTTTTATTTATCGATTGAGGCACTACGAAGTCTGCCGGGTCAACTAGTCGAGAATAAAACTACAAGAAAATAGCATTTAATATTTTATTATTAGCATACTAAAATGATTCAAACAAACTAAATCATGATTTCTTTATACTTATGATACAAACATTTAACAATATCATCATTGAGACTGACAGTAGCGCTTGCTCGTATCAGCCGTTGCAGTGGGACGTAGCAATGCAACGCTTTTGAATTACCAACTATAATGAACTTGTGCTTCGCCCGAGTCACGCTCACAGCTAATCTCCGATCGTCGTTCAGTATCTCTCCTTCCTATTAAATAAATGAACATTACATTTACACAAATATAAATTCACCATTATTGCTATTGCTATTTTTACTGGTGGTAGGACCTCTTGAGTCCGCACGGGTAGGTACCACCACCCCGCCTATTTCGGCCGTGAAGCAGTAATGCGTTTCGGTTTAAAGGGCGGGGCAGCCGTTGTAACTATACTGAGACCTTAGAACTTATATCTCAAGGTAGGTGGCGCATTTGCGTTGTGGATGTCTATGGGCTCCAGTAACCACTTAACACCAGGTGGGCTGTGAGCTCGTCCACCCATCTAAGCAATAAAAAAAATAAAAAAATTGACAGACAAGCTCATAAATTAAAGGACTACGGTATATCTCAATATAATTCATCATCGACGGCCAGATATGACGTCGAAGTCTTGAAGTAAAACGGCTGCCCCTACTGCGGAAATAGAATAGAACCACGGACGTGGCTGTTTGAGCTTGTGGCTTTAACAGGCCCATTGAAGACCGAGTAAATTCTCACACTCCATGTTTAGTATAATTATTAAAACAATTAATTATAAACCAGGAAAAGGTCAAATATCAAACAACCGTTCGTATTATGAAATGGAATATTAATTCACTTATACAGAGCAACACAACACATCACAAAATAAAGCAAATTAGACACTAGTCTAGCCACAAATGCCTATTAACACTACATTTGAAGACCGAATGTATTTAATAGATATTAAAAAAAAACATTTTTGGTGTTATTTGATTCACTAACCTTAACTTTATGATCTTCGCTTACATTCCATTTGGTACACGAATATATTATGATGGATTTGTCTCTGCCTTGGAACTGATCAACGGTGTTAACTTCTACAGAGTAGGACGCCAGGGCCCTGCGCAGTAGTGACACTTGTTCGCGATATGGCGCTATTATACCTATATTTTTAGATGAAACGCCACCCTGAAAATAAATAATGGTATATGTTTAACAATATTTTTTACCGAATATAAACTTATTGTTTAGATGGGGGACGAGCTCACAGCCCACCTGGTGTTAAGTGGTTACTGGAGCCCATAGACATATACAACGTAAATGCGCCACCCACCCTGAGACACAAGTTCTAAGGTCTCAGTATATTTACAAAAAAAAACATTTTTTTGTATAATTACTTACTATTATAAGCCCGCACGGGTGAGTGTTTGGATATAGGGTTTAGGTACGTATCGAGATTCTGGATCTGTTTCTACCATTATACAATTTAAAAATCAAGCTTTTTATTCAATCTTGACGAAGGGTTAATAGCAAAACATGACAGATCAATATCTTGAGGTATCATTGAGTTTAAAGTTCAAGCATCGGGTCAACATCAATTACTTGATTCAATCAAATTTAATTTACTGTACAAAAATATATTTAACATGTAACAACCTCTTTGAAGCATTCCATCAAGTCGAGAACTAGGCAAGCTTCGGCTTTGTTCCTACACGAGCGGCTTTCATTTTCAAAATCAAATACATTTGTAGATTTCATGTCCAAAAACAATACGGCGTCTTCAGGTTCTGGACTGCAAGCTCTCTTTAACCATTCCATTTTTGAACTTAATTTCTGAAAAAAAAAAGAATCATTGATATGACCGACCTTTAACCTCGCTATATTTGTTGACTGTATTATTAGGTAAATTCATTTACTCATATAAAATAAATGCAAGGGTAAAGTTACTATTACGAAACGCGAAGATTTTTGATGTTTAAGAAATAAACGTCTGCTCTATGTGCTTAGTGCGAGTTTTTTAAAGTTCTCGATAGCGTAAAAGTTAGCTCATATTTGTATGGAATGGGATCGGTTGCGTGCGTTTGCCGCTAGGGGCGCTGTTCCAACTGCATACAAAATTGGGTTAACTTTTACGCTATCGAGAACGTTAAGAAACTCGCACTAAACACACGATATCATATTAGATATGTGAGAAGCCGCGACATATAGAAATTTATAGGCCACAATTTAGCTTTTAGTTTTAAATAATCGTTACTCACAATTTACCATTTATTGTTGAGTGGTGAAAAAAATGTTTTGGTCGTGTCGATTTCCACATTAGGCGATTCATCACAAGTGGATGAAAATATTAATATGTAATTAATAAAACAACATTGTTTTTATCGTTACATATTTCGTTTCAATCTTCGAATACAACCGAGCTTAGAGGTTACCTAATCGCAACTGGTCATCGGTCATCGCGTTTTCCCCCTACTTAATCACTGTTAGCCTAATGGGCTATTTCAAATATGCGCGGGCTGGTAGATGAGTTCGGTGAACTCAACCTTTAAGACTTTGTTAACTACTGAAGGTCATCACCGCTCATGACATGACTGTTAAAGTTTATTCATTAACAAACCACTTACCATTTCTGTAGTAGATTTTGAATGAGACAGACATAAAAGAAAAAACGTTAACAACTTTATTATCTACGTCGATGCATTCACGGTATTGCCCTTGCCCTTGAAAATGTAAAAATCGTCGGCTACTTTTATTTTTTTCTCAAAAGCTGAGTGTCAAGAAGAATAGCAAGAATGACAAACATAACATTTTTCTCATGTCTAAGGTAGCTTTCGATAAATTTGTTCTACAAAATATTATTATGATGCCAGCTTTGTTCCCACAAATTATTAAGAGTACCTTTTTTAACGCTGGGGAATCCATTTACGGATACCCGGTCGAGGGGGGTAAGAGACCGGGTTATGTCGGACTCCGGCGCCTCCAGAGAAGAACATGTCGGACTCCGGCGCCTCCAGAGAAGAACAGGGAGAAGAGAAAGACCGGGGTTCCCTTTCTTCGAATTCCTAGAGTACCTACTAAATAAATTCGACCGTGATATCGTTATCATTATATATTATGTACTGTAAGTTTTACCTGCATATCAATACTGAGTGTAGCTAGAGCAACATGTCCGTTGGCACATTTCAAACGCGAGTCATAAGCTACTTGATTCGCTACATCGGTTATAGCTTGATTCATGCGATACTGCAGATGCAAGGTGCAAGTTGCTTCTTCGTCCATTAATCTGTGGAACAGACTCTCTTCCATGCCGAGACGCCTAAAAAAACATTATAGATCACGTCAAAATACAGTAATTATTAGAGATGTTTGTTTGTTCATTACACTAGAAATGAAAATTTACATTCCAGCAGCAAAACTGGTGTCCTGAAAATGTTAGCATGTGTTGTTGAGCGGTCAAACTTAAATTTTGAAGACCAAAATTGGAAAAGAGCTTTCGGCCGTGGTGATCGTAATGTACCGGCTTTATTTAATCAGTTCTTAATTTTTAATGGCAGTGTTTGCAGTACAAGGTTTGTAATATTACCTTGTGATTAAGATATAAAAAAATGGTACGTGTAGATCAAAATCGTGTAGTGTGGGACTAGATTTATCGAAGAGAATCGGATTGGGGAACAATTTATTTACAGTCGAATATAAAAATCGATTTGCTCCAACTCCGTGCGAGTAATCGCTTTACCACATTCCTAATAATCGTAGCGTTACACAACTTATTAACTGCACGACTCGCACCGGTGATCGACGGACACTCGGAATCCATTTTTTTTTCCTACCTAAGCTGAGAGCCTTGAGAGGCTATTTCAGCCTAACCTTAACTAGTAGGTGAGCTCACGGGGCTCAAACCTGACGACGTTGCTAACACGAACCCTAGTAAAAACCGTGCTTCGCAGAATCTACCACCGGATCGGAAACGCGACCCTATGAGAAGATCCGGCGAGAAACTCAGTGGGCTGTGTCTGTGGGTTAATTTACTCGTCGAGCCCTTCGTTGCAAGCAACGGGTTCGACGAGAACGATGACCTGGGAATCCGTGAGGAATGGCTGCCATATTGATTGAGGGTTTGTTGTGAATAATGGATTAGTATTTTTTTACTTTACTACTTTAATGGATTAGTATTTTTTTAACTTTACTCCACTAATCCATAAAAAAGCCACAAGGCTTTTGTAGTAGAAACGCGGTAGACTACAGAGCGAAGAGGAGCGCTAAACACAACCCGTTTTAGACAAAAGTACTTGAAATAGTAACACATTATGAAAATACGAATCACCTACCGCATTGCTCACATATACATTTGCGCCGCGGTTTCATACGTGATATATTTTTAATACATAGATAAAATCCGAAATGGCTTTTATGTATGAAATCAATTCTAAACGCGTTCAATAAGTTATGTAGTACAGAACAGTTTTTTTTTTTTTTAAAACGGCCTAAACTACAAATAGGTACCTTGCGGCGCGACTTTTCACGATAGGCGGGAGTTGTTTGGGATCGCCAACTAGCAAGAATCTTCTAGCAGCAAACAGCGGTCTCAATACCGTGCACTGTAATACCTGAACAGAATCAAATAAGTAACTTTAAACACTAACACGCATGCCCTCAATCGTGGCTTAAAACTATACAAAAAATCTGCAAAAAATTTAAAAATCAATCGAAATCAAGCGACCACCAACAAATACATATATAGTGAATCGTGTGTTATTCCGAACACGATTTCACTAAAAATTGAGCTCGTTCCTTTTATTATTTTGTGAACATTATCGAAATGTCAACTCAATAGAATCACACAATGCTTAAGAAATGATTCTTATCTTTGCTTCGGATTCCCATTTTAATACGTTTAAGCCGTACAAATTACAAAACAAAAAAAAAATCGGTATCGCGAATCCCGTATCTATGGCACAAAAATAAAATATCACAATGCGCTTAGTTTTTAACGTTCTCGATAGCGTAACAGTTAACTTCAATTTGTATGGAGTTCGACAGTTTTCCTATGTTTACCGCTAGGGGCGCTGTTCCAATGTCATACAAATTTGAGTTAACTTTTACGCTGTCCAGAACGTTACAAAACTCTAAACTAAGCACACTGAAGGACTGACCACAAAAATATTAAATAAGATAATATTGGTAGATATTTATAATATATAATATCGTGGTGGATATTAATTAGTATTGGTATTATTATACCCATACGTACCTGGGTAGCTTCATCAACAATGCACATGTCGAACGTCGTTCTAGAGAGTATGGCGTGCGTGGACCCCAAGCATGTTACACCAATGACTTCCTAAAACAATATTTACACGTGAGGTTATATCACGTGTTAAAAATTTGTTTATAATCGTAGTATTTGCATTCCCGATAAAATAATCCAAAATTTATTATTCTACTAGTTGACCCGGCAGACTTCGTAGTGCCTCAATCGATAAATGTAAGACCTAAAGTTTTGGATAAAATAAACTTAAACGAACAAAAGGAATCCGTCCGACGGGGACACATCAAAAGAAAAACAAAACTGTTATTTTTATTTAATTTAGAGTATTTTCATATTTATCTACCCTTTAAACCTTCTCTGGAATTTCACAAATAATTCAAGACCAAAATCATCCAAATCGGTCCAGCCGTTCTCGAGTTTTAACGAGACTAACGAACAACAATTCATGTTTATATATTATTATATAGATTTTCATATTTCCTATTCCTAAAGCGGGGTAGCATGATACATACAGCGAAACTGAGAAACGAAACTTAAAACAGAACTAATTTGAATTTAGAATTTATCGTCGGCCATAGATAAATTTCACTTCAAATGGCCAGTATTGGAAAACGGGAACTTCATAGGTAGAAACCTATTATTAGGGAAGCCATAAGCTCCTTAACCGCATCCATGAATATTTGTAATGTCATACTGCCTTTTAAATTTACCATTGAATCGTAGAGTCTTGCTAGTTCTTCGACGGTGTGACAAGAAGCTGTTAATTGTTTCTCGGTGCGATGTAGCAGATTTATATCAACACGTGCCGTCGAACCCAACCTCATCACTTTCATAGTCTCTGGTAATCTGCAAACGTTCAATTCGAGTTTAAGAATCGATTTAATTTAAGAATGTTCGCTCTTTTAACATTTAGAATTAATTCTGTATCTGTATCGTGCGTGACCTTTACATGATGAAAGTTGTAATTATTCTAGAATTCATATAGTAGAAAGTACGTAAAGTAAAATATTGATTGGCAACACTTAATAAGGTGCTTTCTTCTTTTTAGTATCCACTTTCGAATTTACGAACGTGTGCTAATAGCAATATAATAAAGTCTGTTTTATTTGTATGTTGCCTCTAAATGTTACATGTACATATATAAATCTTTCATTCTTCAAACAAGGCTTGTAAAGAGTACCTACTCAGTAGTAGACAGAGGTTTGGCTGTACCCGTACACTGCTGACGTCCATGAGAACGGTAACCACACAACATCAAGTAGACCGTATGCTCATATGTCTAGAAGGGTAATAATAACAATTTATAACAATGTAAATCATAGTGTATGATGTCTTTAATACTCACCTACTCAACAGTGTGTCGACCGCCGAGTGCGTGTGAGCAGTCACTAGTACTCTTTGTTTGAGTCCAACTAGCATTTGTATTAGCACGGAAATGGTTTGAGTTTTCCCTAAATCAAAGAAATATTATTTATATATTTTTTTTTTATTGCTTAGTTGGATGGACGAGCTCACAGCCCCCCCAGTGTTGTAGTTACTGCAGCCCATAGACATCTACAAGGTAAATGCGCCATCCACCTTGAGATATAAGATCTAAGGTCTCCGTATAGTTACAACGGCTGCCCCACCCTTCAAACCGAAACGCATTAGTGCTTCACGGCAGAAATCGGCAGGGTGGTGGTACCTACCCGTGCGGACTCACAAGTCGTCCTACCATTAGTAAGTTAATTTTATACAGTTTCATATAAATTGGTGATGGTATCTATGGCACTTAACGACAACTAAGAAAAAAATTAAGATTTATAAATATGTTTATACCAGTTCCCGGGAGACCTTGGAGGAGTGCGTAATCCTGAGCAGAAAGGGCTTTTAGTACAGCTCGCTGCTGTTCGATGTTCAGTGAGCGCATGAGCTTGATGCCGAGCCGGCCGACTTCGCGTGGTAGCTTCGCCTCAAACTGAGGTTTCGTTGTGTCTATTATCAAACTGCAAATAAATAAATAAATTGTCATTTAAAATGGGCCCAACTCTAGACAAACTTGATATCTTTTTTTTTTATTGCTTGGATGGGTGGACGAGCTCACAGCCCACCCGGCGTTAAGCGGTTACCGGAGCCCACAGACATCCACAACGTAAATGCGCCACCCACATTGAGATATAAGTTCTAAGATCTCAGTATAGNTGTCTATTATCAAACTGCAAATAAATAAATAAATTGTCATTTAAAATGGGCCCAACTCTAGACAAACTTGATATCTTTTTTTTTTATTGCTTGGATGGGTGGACGAGCTCACAGCCCACCCGGCGTTAAGCGGTTACCGGAGCCCACAGACATCCACAACGTAAATGCGCCACCCACATTGAGATATAAGTTCTAAGATCTCAGTATAGTTACAACGGCTGCCCCACCCTTCAAGCCGAAACGCATTACTGCTTCGCGGCAGAAATAGGCAGGGTGGTGGTACCCACCCGCGCGGACTCACAAAAGGTCCTACCACCAGTATCTATATATTAATACGTGAAGCAAAAACTTTGTATTCCTTTTTACGAAAATTGCGCGGACGGAGGAGTATGAAATTTTCCACACTTATAGAGAATATAGAGAAGAAGTGCACAATGCTATTTTTTTTAAAATACTGATTATGATGAAATAATGATTATGATAGTTAAAACTATATAGAGCGAGCGAATATATTCAACAAAACTATACTTACGTTCGAAGCCGCTCCGATCTTTCACTGTATTCAAGCAAGACGCCGAGGTTGGACAGATTTTGTACAATAGTTGAATAAGACTCATACGAATCGATGTGGTACAATGTGTCTACGCAGAGACGTTTACTCAAGTCTCTGGAAGATAATTAAAATTGGTGACACACAAATTCGTATTTATAAAATCGATACCTCCAATGACTTTTCACTGGTGGTAGGACCCTTTGTGAGTCGGCACGGGTAGGTACCACCACCCTGCCTATTTCTGCCGTGAAGCAGTAATGCGTTTCGGTTTGAAGGGTAGGGCAGCCGTTGTAACTATACTGAGACCTTAGAACTTATATCTCAAGGTGGGTGGCGCATTTACGTTATAGATGCCTATGGGCTCCAGTAAGAACTTAACACCAGGTGGGCTGTGAGCTCGTCCACCCACATAAGCAATAAAAAAAAAATTAAAAAAAATAATAATAATAAAAAAAACTCCTCTAACTCAAAATTTTGAAATTTTCGTTTTTCACGCAAATCGCTTCACTATTTTAAAAGTATTACAAATCATTATCGAAGCAAGAGTAAATCAGCTAGTTACACAAAAAAAAAACTATAAATATATCTGCAATAATAAAGATTTTATCAACTTTTTTCGTTTAAACGCTCCTCCTGTAAACCTACGAATTTGGAGTTAGCGTAGTGTTCATTGGAGGTATCGAAATTAGATAATAATATGATGATGATTTAGTATTTTCTTCGGTCTTCGTGAATCGTAAACATAAAAATACTTTTATGGTTTATATACGGTTCGACTCGTCAGCAGTTCGCGACTCTAAAAAAAACTAAAAAGTATTCGACGCCTCGGAAATAATAACAATAAAGAAAGCCATAAAGTCGTAATTTTTTTTTTTTTTTTTGCTGTGACGTGTAGACGAGCTCACGGCCCACCGGGGTTTAGCAGTGACAGTCCATAGACGTCAAGAACTTCACCCTTCAAACCGAAACGTGTTAATGCTTCACGGCCAAAATAGGCAGGGTGGTGGTAGCTACCCGTGAAGAATCACAAGATGCTGTATCACCAGTAATTTTAGTTTAGTAGTTTTAATCAGACTAATAGCACTACAAGTGAAACTCTTCATGAGTACTGAATAAATCATCAACACGAAATTCGTCTGAGTTTTCTGTATTGGTCATTGTCATATGAAAACTATGCCTTATTGTTGTTTACAGACATTCTAAAAGCAATTAATATTTTACCTTTCCAAATGTATCTGCACTTCATCGCTACTAACTGAGCTGACAACTCCCGCGGCTACCCACGGTCTACCGTCGATACTGACTATTGCGAACTCCCCCTCTTGAGGTCCTTTCTCTCTATTTAATCTAACACCTAAAGTGAAAAAGTTTGCATCAAAATTACTAATGAATATGAACGTTATAATTTGGCTTTTAGGAACCACATTCGTATAACATTGAAAAGGTCAATGTGCTGATGCGCTCGTGGTAGGGGCGCCGCACTGTGGGACGAAAAAGTGCGTGCCGTCTCAAAAAGAGGTTTAGGGAATGTTCGACATTGAATATTCTGTTACTCTGTTATTCTGTTACACATGTCTAACTGAATGTCTGATACATATCGACGCTTGAAAGGCAAACGTGACTAAGCGACAATGCGTGAACTTTACAGTAGACTAATTTAAAGTTGAAATACCTGAAAGAAATTCTATTTTAACGAATCTAGCTGTAAGATTGAAATAATATTAATAGACCTAGAAATATATATTTTTTGCGCATCGAATATGGTTACTGCTTATCATTTATGTACAAAGCAGTTATTGTCCCTTAGACACGTTTGGCCTTTCAAGCGTCGATATTATTTTAGCATGTAAACATCACTTTTTTCTAAATAAAAATTGACTTGCAAGTTGACGCTCAAGATAATGTCGATTATGTAGAACAGAATTCCACCAGCTTACATGGTCATATTTTGAATACTTTCAATGCACATCTAGAATTGTGATATATGATTAGAAAGGTAATTTAGTATTCTATTTTAAAAAAATATTTGAATAAAACTATACGCCAAGGATGGATAGGTATTTTTTTAAACAATTAAAAAAAAAATATCCTTTTTATAAACGTCAAGACTTTTGACAGTTAGCGCTGTCTGCCGATGTCGTCATTTGAATACCCTCATATAAAGCAACTCGCACAAAAGCCAGGGCAAGAAAATTTGAAGCATTAGTCGGCTAGTCCGGACGGGTATGTACCGCCGTCCTGCCTATTCCTTTTTTTTATGATTGAAGGGTTAATGGTGGCCCGGGGGCCTTTCCAGTTTCACCAGAACGGGTGGGCAAGCAAAGACTCAGCCAGGAGGGGTGGGATTTCTGCCTATTCTGCCGCGGAGCAGCCATGTGTCTGGTTTCCGAGACTACTACTTTATTCGTATTCCAAGCCTGGAGATGGGTAGCGATATTCACGATACGAAATCCATGTGTTTTTTAATTTATTGCTTAGATGGATGGGCGATCTCATTACGGTAACCATTAAATACCAGGCGAGCGGCGAGTTCGGCTGCTTTTAGAATAATAAAATAAGTTTATTAATATCGACAAAAAACATTTAATTACCTGAACGTCGAAATACGTGAAGATGTTTTTCACCCGATTGCTCCACTGTCTTTATTTTCAGATTGGGAATACAAGTCCCTCTTTTTTCTCTACAAATAAATATTGCATTGTCACTTAATTAGTTTCATATTATTAAGTATAATTTATTGTTGGAACCTTTATATCAAATTTAAAATAACATACCAAAAAAAATGTCAAACGTGGATGGGTATGTCACTAAATTCGCAATAAATTATTTTTTGTTAATATTATATTAGCATCGTCATTCATCAGTTTTACGTACATACTTATAAGCTAACATGAACATGTTTTGTTGTTATAAGAAAATTCTCATTCTTCTACGGAGATCCGGAACCAGATCAACTTAGATGTAATATATGTTTTATGTATTACAGTATTTTATCGTTGTATCGATTCTAAAGCTATGCTTTATTTTACAATACTTAACCTTTTTTCAGCACTCTCAGTCCACAAGGCTTGTAAAGGTGATGAATTCGTTTGAAATTTCTCTTCCATCTTAAGTAAAGCCGTCCAATGAAAGAAATATTTTATGTGATCTTTGGATAAGTGTCCTAGTGCTTGGCCTTGTAACTTTGACAGCGGATGATTTTCAGAGACTGATGGGCCTCCCGAATGCCTAAAAAAGACAAATTTCTTCAACCAACGAGCGCCCAGCAAGTTTTTTCTCCGTCGTCTCCTAACTTAGATATTGTACACTAGTAAATATGGAACAATATTCTGCGCTCGCATTTTGACCGTTCCCATTACGAGCCATGTGTTTTAAAGTTTTTGCGAAATAAATCACGCGCACATGATTATTTTTTTGTGATTATTTGGTGATGAGGTTCACATTTACATTGCAAAACGACAGTGAACCTTATAAATTTGGCAATCTGCGAGGCCCTAAAACAAATATGCGTGGAAAACATGCCAGCGCAAGCTTTTCTGGAACAATAAGGTTTTCACAATGTACATCATCTGGCAATAACGCAACCGCCGATCACTTTATAGACAATGTTAGTATAGCACTTAAAGGCGTCAACCGTAAGCGCCGATAAATTATTTCGTATTTTTTCAATCTACTCTTTTGAGCATATCAAATGACAAAGTCTCGAATTGTACATTCATTTAAATTCATTACATTCATTTGCACAATAGATAAATAAATAAATATTTACTAAATATTTACTAACAATCAGCCACGTTAACTGGTCCCGTGATAAGTTCGTAAAGAACTTGTGTTACAGGTACCAGATAACGGAAATAAATGTAAGATTTTTATTATACATATACATATATTTAATATACATCCATAACCCTGGAAAATACATTTTTTTATATTTATCATATAAATATCTTCCCTTGGCGGGATTCGAACCCGCAACCCCCTTGTGTAGTGACCATGTCACTTACCACTACACCAGACGGCCAGACGGATGTAAATTACTAAGTTAATGTAACAAGATATTGTATCACTTACCACAAATGCACAGAACAAATGGATAAATACGGACATTTAGTGCATGCTCTCTCATGATTGATCGGTTCTGGTAGCTTTTGCTGAAGTAAAAATGAGGCATCTTCAATATCAGTTAACTGTTCTGAAAATATCATATTTATATTATTTAGATACTCCTCAAAGAAGTAGAACCTACCTTGTATCTCAAATGAATCTCAGCATGATCATACTGTACTTAAAACTATAATTTAATCGGCAAGATTTGAGTTATTAGAGTAGAAGATATTAATATCTATCTAACCTGGATCTGGATCTTTGGGATCCGAAGTGAGATTTTCAACTAACTGATTCCTCAGCATTACCAAGTCGCGCCTCTCTGGGTATCCACAGTTAACCTCCCTCACGTCTACTTTGTCTCTGTAAATATGATGATACTCATCGAAATTTTAATTATTCTTATGACGTACAGCGGTCCGCACGATTACATGGATTACTATCTTTTTTTTTCCTACCTATGCTGATAGCCTTGAGAGGCTATTTCAGCTTCACCCTAACGTGTAGGTGAGCTCACGGGACTTAAACCGGAATGTTGCTAACACTGTCCCTAGCAAGAGCAGTGCTTCGCAGAATCTACCATCGGGTCGGAAACGCGACCCACTGAGAAGATCCGGCGAGAAACTCAGTGGGCTGTGTCTATGGGTTAATCCGCTCGTCGAGCCCTTCGTCGCAAGCGACGGGTTCGAAGAGGACGGTGACCGGTGGTTGTGGTATCTAAAAGCACCGTTAATGGATCGGGAGGATCCATAATGACCTTTGCAAGTTACTATACATTCGTAGGCTATTCATTCGTCGTTCGTTACAAAACAATAGCATTTAGTCGTCTAAATGACTCCACTCCTAATGCTAATCTTCATCTTCAATTATAACTTCTATTTACTTCATCTAGTATATATTCTGTACGCTAAAAATTACCTCAAATAAAGCAACAGTCCACGTTGTAAAGCCACAGTGGGGTCTTCGTTTCTGTGTAAGCTCAGCATCATTCCATACATTACGAGCTGGCCGCGATGTTCTGCCGACACAGATGCCTTTCCACTTTTCAACTCTAAAGGAACTATGGCTTTCTGGAGAACTGGGAAAATAAATCTCATATCAGGTGTGGATTATCACAAACACAAGAATTTAGAAAAAGAAGATGGCAGCATAATGATAGAAGTCATTCTGAACGAAGCAATCATATGTCTTAACGTTGAATCATACCACACTATATACTTAAAAAAACATTTTTGTTAACAATACTCTGATTTCAAAACACCGGTTTCAAGTGACAAAGTTACCATGTTATTACAAAGTTGATAAAGTTAACATTAATGGCACATTTAGTTGTAAGTCACTATTGTATTGTATAATTTTGGTAACAATTTAATACCAAATTGAGCCCCGAGGATATTTATGAAAAGTTAAAAATAATAGAATGTATCTTTTCGTCTTCCTACTAATGAAGTACTGACATAATACCTTTTTTTTTTTTTTCCGGGCCGAGGGCCGAACCTCCTACGAGGTCCCCGCGCCTAGGGGGCGCGCGGGGTATGTGAGACTCAATGATCTGCAGGTGTTGAGAGTAGACCGCGGGTCCAAGGAATTTAGGGCCCACCCACTAAACGACTCCCCTGCACTCTTACACCCGGCGTCCGATCTCCGTCCGGGGTCAAAACCCGGTCAGAGTAGGGGGGTTCCCGCGGTCAACACTACAACCAGACACGCGGCGCCACCCCGAGGACGCCCGACCGACGGGTCGTCGAGGCGATAGTCGACGACCAACGACGTCAGTCTCCGCGGTACGGCGGCCCTTCAGGCCGCCCGGGCGATGCCGCTGGTGTTCCGGGATACCCCGCTGGGCCAGAACCAGCCTGCCGGGTCGGAACGCGATACACCGCCGACCGGGTTGCTCTTCCACAGTATGTTCGGCGACGACAGCGACGACGAAAATGCGGACCGCATCGCAGTCCGCAGCCGCCGACGCGTCGTCCCGTCCTCCTGGTGCCAGCGCGCTAGAGTGACGGTAGCGTGCGGCGCAGTCTCAACCCCCTTAGGTCGCCCCGTGACCATCACCGGGAGGAGACTGCCTCCTCATAGGGGCCGGAGCTGGACAAACGCCCTCCTCCGACCCCCGGCTCGACGGCGGCGGCACGGCGCCGAGAGGGAAGAAGAGCTCTCCCTCTCCCGTTCCGCCGCCTCCTTCTGCGAGATGGTGGACTCGCAGAAGTCGAGCATCGCCTGCCAGGACTCGTCGCTGCCGAGCATCGTAGCCACGACGGTCGGAAGCGACAAGTCCGGTCCTATTTTTGCAACGAGGACGCGGCGCTGCTCCGCGAAAGCGGTGCAGTACGCGAGCGTGTGCTCCGCCGTGTCCTCGTTGCAGCCACTGCAGTGGTGGCACTTCGGCGTCGGCTCCCTCCGGGCGACGAGGTGCAGGTAGCGACCGAAACAGCCGTGTCCCGTGAGCACCTGCGTCGCTCGGAAGGTGAGACGTCCTCGGTCGCGATTCACCCAGTCCGAGAGGACCGGGCGGATCGCCTCGACGGTCCGTCGCCCGTAGGCGGGGTCCGCCAGGCGGCGAGACCACGCCTCGAGCACGGCACGCCGAGATTGAAGCTTCCGCGCTCGAACTTCCGCCGCGCCGGGACGCGGCTCCCCCCTGGAGCGGAGATCACATCGCCACGCGTAATCCGCAGCAAGCGCCTCCGCTTCCAGGTCCCACTGACATAATACCTAAATCAAGTCAAGTCACAGACACCACTATATATGTATCAGGTATATATTATTATACATATTAGGTCATACATATGACCTAGGCATTTACAGCTTTCCATAAATCTGCAATAGACACGGCATCACAGTGTGCTCATCGATCGTAACACATCCTTCTCCTTTGAAAAATGTAATTTAAAAAGTCGTTAGCTGTAGGTCAGAAGTTCGGCTCTGTGTGCCTGGTATCGTCATAACTTATAGCTAGTTTGAATTTAAATACATTATCTATTTACAAAAAGTTTTTAATTCTTGACCCCACCATTTTTTTCAGGTACGGTAACTTGCAAAGTGGCATCGATCTTCCCTTTCAGTCCTAATTGTGGACAGCATATATTTTCTTCTATATCCAAAACTTTATCAATATGACCGTTCCAGTTTTCTTTGTTATTTTGCATCTGTGTGATAAAGGTTTTAAATTGATTCAAATCTACATAAAATTTTTAGAAAAGTAAATAACATTATGTTTACTGTTCGTGCTTTTATGAAAAGTAAAATAATTATATCACTGAAACCAGAGCGTAATTTTATTTATTGAAACATTTTTAAGACGAGGTTGTGAAAATCTGTTCTCAAAAACAATTATTTAATTCAGTGTACATTTAGTCTTCGGCGAGTTCAAGAATTAGGTTGTATTAAATTACTCACAATTCCATGACTGGCCTTGGAAACGACATAGCTCTTCATGAAATCGTTGAGAGGCTGTATGTAGCACTGCATGCTTGTCCGTGTCTCCTCCTCGGTCATCCCCGCATCGTACAACATCTGTATGGACTCCCTTATCATTCTATCAGCTTCTAACCGTAACTGAGTTATATCTGATATTTGTTGTGTCAAAGCCTTTTGTACTAGTTCATGTACCATTATTCCAATTGTCATCTACAATAACAAAAACACTAATCGTTATGGGATATGATTTTTTTTTTTTTTTTTTTTTTTCTGTATCTTATGTTTTATAATCTTGGTTGTTTTGATTCTCGTTGGGAATTTATATGTGTTATATGTAATAATAGTTACTTTGTTTCTCCTGCATATGGGATATGATTAGGACTTTATAGGATATGGACGACATGGTTGATAATAATATAAAAATCTACAGAGTATTTTTATGTATTTTAAAGATCTGGGGCAAACACTTTCGTGCGAACATGACCTAAAAACCTTCTAGGTGTCCATTTTCAATATGGTACAACGTCATGATATATCCAATCCCCGCTCTATCACTAGCTTTCACTGAAAAGGAATTGAATCAGGCCAAGTCCTGAATCGCGCTAGCGGCATTTGTATATTATAGTTTGCGTATTATTTACATGTCCGAAACAATAATCATAAGGTTAGTTTACCGAATATCCCTCGCTCGGTATGAAAAATCTACCCAAACTATAAATGAGGTCTTGCAAATCATACAACCAAAACGAATAATGATGAACACACGTGAACACGAGTAACAATTCGTGAGACGGGAGCTCATTTACTCGTCAAGAGAAGTATAAAAAAATGTTATAAAAAACTGACAATGGTCCATCGTCGTCACCCAGTAGCTGATGCTCCGCCAGACTTACAGGGCTCGAGTGCCACTAGTATAACGCAACTGTTATATGTAAAGTTTCCATACAAGATGTTTGTTCACAGCTGAGCAAGACTTTATGATTCGGTTGTACAACGTCACCAGCATTAGCGATAATGCCTATGTGAATATTGAGACAGCCATTATTCAACATTAACGAGACTTGATGTTCGCGTCATTCACTTATAGATATCTATATGCTCTGACAATTACTTTACGCGGTAGGCAGCGGCTTCGGCGGTAGGCAGCGGCTTGGCTCTGGCCCTGGCATTGCTGAAGTCCATGGGCGACGGTAACCACTCACCATCAGGTGGGCCGTATGTTCGTCTGCCTACAAGGGCAATAAAAAAAAACACTAGATGTGCCGTGAGCTAGGTCGCCTGTGCACGCTGTCAATACAAAAAACTCACCGCCGTATTGGCAGAATCTATTCCTCTCCATCTCTCTTGGAGTACAGCTTTTCGCTTACAAAACACTCCAGCCACAACACTCGTGCTCGATATCAAGTGGTCCGGCCGGAGGACGAGCAGCCCAGTTGTGTCGTTTAAATAATGTTGCCCCGTTTCATTTTTAGCTGCAATCACACTGATTATATCGCCCGGACTCAAAGGTATTGATTTCCTGAAAATAAAACACATAACCATCATTTATATAATATATAGCAGACAAATTATTACAATATTGAATTGATTGAGAAATATTAAGAGTTCCCATCCTCAAAAATAAATCAATTATTATATGTATTATATTATTGTGTATGTAATTGTATATCATTACTGTATTAAGAAATGACTAACTAAATAAATAAATATGCAAACTGTGATTGCCCCCACCTTGTCATGAGCTCTAAGCTTCAGTTTTTATAGTACAACAGCTGATGCATCCTTCAAACCGAAACACATTACTGCTTCATAGCAGAAACAGGCAGGGTGGTGGTACCTACGCATGTGAGCTCACAAGATGCCCTACCATCATCAAACTAAGAACTTTTACTCAGAACACAAATTTCATTTGCAGTCTAGTTTTAATATAAGGCAGATGAGTAAGCTTCCCAAATACCAAATTTCCAAATTTCCATTACATCAGAACTTGATAGTTAGATAGTTGTTAAATAGTGGAAGTAGCTTTCTAAAACATAGGTCTTTGTACAAGAGTGAAGTACTGCTTCCCTCTGCTAAGAACTGTTCAGCAATTGTTTGAAGTCAACTTTACTTTATCTATGTGATTAAATAATTTTAATTTGTGCATAGGGCATATGAAACTATTATTATATTTCTTTCAGGATGTTGTGGAGTTTTTGTTTTACATTTAATCACTTGTTTTACACTTGGCGACGCACCGTAGAGAGTGAGATGAGGACTGCCAATGTGACCTGGAGTGATGTCAAGGAGCAAGCGCAAGACAGGGTAAAGTGGAGACAACTTGTGAGGGCCCTATGTACCAGCGGGGTACCCTAGGACTACAACAACAACAACAACTTAATCGACATTTACCAAAGTACCTACTGCGTGAAACCAGTGAACTCTTGGATAAGATATACATGCGCCCAATCAGTAGAATAACTTTTAAATTTACCAAGAAGAAGAGTTTTTAAAATCTAGTTAACTTTATAATAATCTTTAATATCTGGTTTGAATTAATATATTTAACAGGTATTCGTGAACGAGCTCAAAGCCCACCAGAACTCAGGGGCTAAACAGCACATTTAGAATCAAGAATGATCATGATCCTTAATTGAAAATAATAATACAAGTAAATATTAACCATATCCCTTCAACAAAACAAGTGCCAGTCATTTCACCGCTCTTTAAAAAAAGTTCCATTTTGTTTTCATGATTTTTCAAACTGATTACCTCACATCTCTGCATTTTATTCAGATTTAACTTGTCAAAGGCTGCCTGGGAATTAAAAAACGTATATTAGATAAAAGAATTCACTTAAGAAAATTAAAAATTAACCAATACTAAATAATTAAAAAAACTTTATTTTTAATAGCTCAGTTTTGCAAACAAGTTATTTCATATTATCTTATAGGTCACATTGTGTTTTCTGTGAGCTCCATGCTGACTATTTAACTGTCCGTGGGCTATGAGGTATTAAGTCCTACGACCACAATGTCTTTAGCTGGGAGTCAAACATATCAGACTTTCTAATAGATTATTATTAATGTTATTTGTTGAACTAGGTATTATTAGTAATTAAGTACTAAAATGCTTACTGCATCCTCTTCGTGCTCCCAATCATCATTGAAAACATCACTTACATCATCTTGTTCAAAATCTTTTTTGTCAAATGTGACACATTGTAAATTTGATATATCAGGTAAGCTGTTGAATATTGGAGAATGTTCAAGTTCTGTAAATACATGATCAATTAAAGGATATAATTTTTAACATTAAGGTTTCAAGGGAAACACTGAAACTTTTTTTTTAAAAGTATGTAGCATACTTTAAGCAGAAATAGATTGAATTGAACTGTCTCATTTCTGTTACACTCACTGAGACCTAAACACGATTTTCAAAAAATTCATCAATCTTCTAGCTTTAAAAATCAAAGCATTCTACTTTAGGAGCATTCTTTTTACTATGATATTTCTTGATTTAAAAAAAAAAAAAACATTTTCACTTTCGGTAAGTAATGTTTTTATTTTGATTTGATTTTTATTACACAATGTTATTCCTTCACTGTGGAAGTAAATCGTGAACCATTGTTAAGTACATATTTCATTAGAACAACTGGTACCTGCCTGCGAGATTCGCACATAGTTACATTACCACATACAAATGCACTGGACACTTAAACTTTAGGTCATTACATCTTCACGGGTTAGATCTTTATGGGTTATAATTTAACAATGAAATTTGAATGTTTTAAGCCCAAATCTGAATAAAGCAAAATAGAACATGTGTATCTAATAATAGTGTTTTAAGTTTTTCCAGCAAAGCAAGAAATTCTATAAGATATTTTGCAAATATTTTTGTGTAGAGTACAAAATTATTGTAGTTTTCTATTCCAGGCTGTCAGCAGATTCCGTATTAATCGAACTTACTAAATGTTAACGTTACTTACGTTTTAAAGGATCTTTATTTTCTATTTTAATTTGCTTTAATTTCTTATTCGTATCTGTTTCTTTATTCATTAACTTAAGCTTAACTGGCTGCGAGATTAAGTGATCATTATCGAGGCACGTAGCCTTTCTTTTCGCAGATGGTAAATAATTAGTTTTTCTGGATATTGCGACATTATTAGGACCATCTGAATTTTTGAAAAATGCAGTTATAGGTTCTTGATTTTTCGATGTAGAAGATTCCTGACTCTAAAACCATAAAATCATTTAATAAAAATGTTTACTAAGGACTAAATTTGAATAGTTACGATTAGCCCACCTTTTTCATGCTTAAATAAATAACGGCCGATCTGCATAATCTATATAAGTAAGTACTTTGCTAACTATTTTCTAATTAAAAAAAATGTTTGGCCACAAACCAAATATCACCTATTTATTAAACATTAATTCCCCTGATACATTTAATATTAATATCCCAATATGTATGTACATATTCACAACACAAATAATAAATAAATATATGTACAATCATAGCCATAGTAGTAGTAGTAGTTTTATTTTTCCAGATGGAAAGGCAAAGGTGTCGTACCATACAGCCTAATCTTTTATATATATTTTTTTATTTCATGAAATATGATACTATGAAATGAAATGAAGTTGATTAATAATATGAAACATGACATGATATGAATTGAAATGAGATGAAATGATATAATATGGGATACTTTTGTGCAAAATGATAATATGAAGTGAAATGAAATGAAGATGATTAATTTGAGACATCAATCTACTGGGATGTAATTAAATGAAATGAGATGAGATGATATGGGATGAAATATAATCTCAGTAAAATGGTGGTCATTTACTGAGATTTTTTCAGTGGACTTTTTGGAGGATCCCGAGAAGTTACGTCCAGCAGCTTTGTTTCATTTTCCCACATTTGTGCACTGTCACAGATATTAAACAGTTAATATACCACCGTTATTACACATTTAAACCTGAAGAAACACTAAATAGACAAAATAAAACAAATCACACAACTTCACTCCTCGCGTTCCCGCCAAAAAGTCCCATAGCCATAGCACAATAAATAAACAATAACTCGCTTTTTTCTTTCTTCTTTTTGGCTTTTACATATTGATGTGTTTAGCCACTGACAGTAATAAAAGTCGGGAACCAAAGCATATTAAAATTGTAAGAATTAGGTAACGGAAAGGACAGAGGATTAGGAAGTAAAGGAAAATATGGAATATATGTAGAAATTATTAAACTCGATCATGTTTATATAGAATATATTTTTATTAAATTTTAATATTATTTTCAATTATAAATTTGGATAATAATTTATAACAATTTTGCTTGTCATCATAAAGTAAACATTTAACAGAGGTAGGAAATGGTATTTTGAGGAAAATTAAACTGCTCAAAAAAGAAGATTTGTCATATAGGGGGCAGGTAAAAAATATATGGTTCAAACCCCCCACGCTAGTACCACAAGAACAGGCGTCAGAGTCTATAATTTTAAGCTTAGCAAGGTAGACAGGTGTACAATGATGCCCCAGTCTCATCCTAATTATTATACTACAACACAATTTACTTAATTTTATTTTAAAGAACCATGGTTTACGCCTAATATTAAGTACTAAATAACTCGCCTTCAATTACACCTTTGATTATGGTTCCATCCATTATCCATTAACGTGACGCCCTGGAGTTAATAAGTATAGAATAGTAACTCTATGCGTGACGCACACAAAGCTAATACAACGAACACTTACACTCTTTCATAAACAAACGCTTGCACGCGATTGGTCGGGCACGGCGGCGCGGCGCATACTCTCTACCCAGCAGACGCGTGAATGACGTTATGCAGTAATAATAAATTCATCAAATATTTTTTTCGTTTTTTTTATTAAGTGACTTTATTACTACAATTAAATAAATGCAGTTTATAAGTTAGTACATGAGATGAAAATATTAAAATTAAACTTAAAATCAACACTACTGTGTACAGGGTGAAAGGCAGCTATCCGAAAACTTAAACCATGAACTAAGACCATAATTTTGAGCAGCTATTATTGTTTTTCAGGAAATAAAAAATCGACCTATCATACAAGGTTGGTAAATTCAGCGTGTGTAGGTATGTAGTGTAGCAAAAAAGTATTTTCATTTCCTAAAAATCTTTGGTCTGGTCTGACTTCATGGCTTACAACCATTGTGAAATGCATAATGTGACTGTGCAAATAACACGGTAGAACAGGGCTAGAATTTTGCAGTTATTAAATTACGCGTAGGGGTAGGACAGAGTGAAAATAATATTAAGTCGACTTGGAGATAACATAGAATATTTATTCAGTAATCACTAGCATACAAATTAAATCAAAATTAAACTATGAACTATGTACCTCTAAAAATAATTAGTTTATTTAGCTTTTTTGCAGCATACGTACGATACTCCAGAGAACCCACTGAGCGCTGTATGTAAATTTGAATGCCCAAACCCATTTTTTTTTAAATTCTCAATAAAGTATTTCATCGATAAAATCTTTTTTTTTTGCCTTTTATTTTGCCGCTGTAATATCTTTATCTTAAATAATCGTTTATTCGCGAGATTCTTCTTTAAATCTAGTTGTTTTTTTAGTTTTTGGTGTTGAGGAGTATTAAAAGCAGATTCAATTTCAGGCGAAGGTACACTTATCGGAGTGCTGCATGAAGGTTTTAATTTTTCTGAGGCCGACAGACTGGCTTTATTCTCCAAAATTTCATTCGCGATATAAAATTTATGTTCACAATTCGGACATTCTGCCTGAAAAAAAAAGAACAAGTTTCTTTATTAATTAGAATATTTTTGTTTCGAAAAATACTTAGTACTTGATGGTATATTTTCTTAGGTTTAGCATTTTTATTTTCTTTTAAAATGTGAATAATGCTTTTCCTTTATTTTCTAAATTAGTAAATTCAGCAAAAATACAGAACTTGCTAGGTTATTCGGTTTAAAATTCACCAAATAGTTTTGTAACTGGAATGACGCAAACCTCGTAAAACTACTATCTTACCTTTTTAATCTTTGTTTCTTCCATGTAGCTGCAACCAGGCTCTTCAAGGTCATGTTCTTTATTAATTTTTTCATGCATTTTGTTGCAAATATTTACTTTATCCGTTGTTTTCTCCTGTTAAAAAAATATTTTTCTTGATAATATATTTATAGCAATTACTTTTACGGTCGGTAGGCAAAAAATTCAGTTGTACATTAAAAAAAACCCACTGAAAGAGACAGCCCCGTGAACAGATATATCTTGGACTTAGGATAATGGTTTTAAAGATCTTCTCGTAAGAAAAACTTTCAGAAAGTAAACTAAAATATCCATAAAACGTTGAGTTTATATGGGAGTTATAGTTTTTTTCTTTACAGAGAGTTGCTCAGAAATATCGTCTTAGTTCATTTTTCAAGTTTTACGAAAGCTATCTCTTCCACCCTTTATACTTAGAATAGAAAATTGTAATTTCAATAGACAAACTCACCAATTTCCTTTTTCTTTGTTCTATATTACTACAATTAGGTGAATGTAATTCCCCTAAATTAGCTTTATTTTTTACATCTTCCCGTGGCACTGAGGACTCTTTCTGTAAGATACAAATACAGTTATAAAAATGGAGATACATTAATTAATTAAAAATGTCAGTTAATTTTAAAGTAAAATGATTTTGCACCTTCCAGATTTTATACTAAAACGTCGTTGAAACGTCATTATGATACTAAAATAACGACGTTTCAAATTAGATTCTATTATTGATAAGTAACTAAAAAAATATTACACCTGCAAATTTGTTGTACACGTGGTAGATGGAGGTCCCAAAAAGTCATTTGAGTGTACATTCAATGGAGTAACCATCTGTAAAATATAATTAATAATGTATAATTTTAAACAACATTATTACAGGAAATTATACAACATACTTACAGTGCAAATGGGCAACGCAGATTTTTTTAATCGCACACGACTTCCATTTTCAAGTGCGTACATGTCCTCTTTTTGAAAGTGTATGCTGCATATTGTGCTATTTTTGCAAGGCGTCCAATTTGTTTCATTTCTTTCCAAACGTACTGCGGTTATCCATTTTTTACGTTGAATTTGATTTGTCGGAAATCTGCAGTAATAAAATCATTTGTTATCGCTGCATAATATCATCCTTGCTACTTAAATAAAACTTATGTTTTATCTGAGCAGTATAAAGAACTACTACTGCATAGAAAAAGTAATCGTACATATTGCATAACACTATCCATCATCAATAGTATGAAATTTTACGATGTTTGTATACTTACTTATGAAAGCTAATTCCACTGTTTTTCATATCTGTATGGCTTTTACACCATTTCACGACACACGATGGCATACTTGCAAAATTAAAAAGCGCAAAATAATAATTATCTGATCAACCGAAAACTGACGCAACACAACCGCACGACATGAGTGCGACAGCGAACTGGCGCGCCGTTCTGTAGCTATTTTAAGCCCCGCCCTCCGCGGCGGCTATTTACGTGGAACCATTTTTGAAGCGTAATTACTATTTCTCTATAGTTTTATTATTCGTAGTTGGTATGAAATAAAACCACCCGCACAAAATTTGAAACACTCATCGTTTATTGTCCAAGGACAGAAATTACAAAACACGAAAAAAGAGAAACAAATGAAGATAATGTGATGCATTAAGCGACAGTAGATGTTATTGGAAACTACTTTTTTAACGTAAGCCAAAGTTATCGTAAACGCGTCAGGGTCTCGCAGTAAATCGACCAGCTGATTCATAGATAAACTCGTGTATCGTAAGTTAGGAGTCATTGCTGTCGGCAGTCATCTGTATCCGCGGTCGTGAAAAGCCGGGGCTCGACCGCCCGCCGGTTCCCCTTGTAGGGACGGACCACCCAAATACATATAAAGCTGCCTAACTAAAGGCTTATTATACTTGGCTAAATTTAGTCGACTGAATTCAGTGAAGTGTAATAGCATTAAGTAAGTTAGCGTTAGCCTACTAAATTCAATAGCAAGGATGGTTTCTGACTAAATCATTTAGAAGCCTAATTAGAAACGCATTTAGGAAGGTGTAATCGCATTAAGTTGCTTAATGGTTTCAGTCGTCCCATAGCTCTCCGTGCGTAAGGACGTTTTAGTTTGTTTTCTACTTCCGAATAAAAAGTATTAATTTCGGTCACCTTTATTTAATGTTCCAGACATTTATAAATAGCCCGACATGTTTCAGGGATAATTTTTGTCATCAGGGGTTGGGATATTGAAGAACTAAATTTTAAATTTTGATACGAATTTCCTGTTGCAAGAAATCTTAATGTTACAAACAATCTTTCTTTTGGACTTATACTATCGTAGGATTAGATATGTAATAGTTATATAATAGACTATCGTAGGATAGTATCCTGCTTTTGAATAAACGGTGTCACAAGGTTTAATATTAGGTCAAACGAGCTCGAATCCATTTATAGATAATTTCTGAAGTCTGCTGGTTCTAAATCACTCATGATGTTAATATTTGCTATTTTTCCGCGGAGCAATAAATATTTCTTCACGCATATTCTTCTTTTTTGACGTGACAACGTCTTATAATTTGATGGAGTCGGCTGCACGCACGAAAAAACATGACTCATGCGGCGTTACCTCGCTCTGAGGCGTTCCATTTAAAGCTTGAAGTGCAAGCGAGAGCGCGCAACGTGCGACAAAGAGGCACAATCGGCTTCCGCGTTCGGCAGCGTTCGACTTCGACTACTTGAGTAAGCGATGTATCCGCGTGGACAGCTGCTATATAATAATACATTTACATGTTTTCGTCAAGTATGAAGTTCAGTGAAAAGTGAATGTGGTGTCAATTGTCCATACAAAATATCTATCAAACAAATAAAATTAAAATTTTCTTTTGAAAAATGAAACCATTCCATCAGTATTTTCTTATGACGTTGTCACGTTCAACTATCGTCAGTAAGCCGACTTTACAGACAACCGATTCATTCATTTTCAATTGAGCCGACAGCGGCGGCTACGCCAGGACCAATTTTTTGTTGTCTAGACAATATTGGGGCCATCCTCGTACACACACGACACGTCCAACTTCGTCGCGCTTAAACTGACAATTGATTCAGTAACTGAATTTAGAACAGTGTAATCAGAAGCTTCTAAAGCTGCAGTCGCAGCAGTCGACTAAATTTAGCCAAGTGTAATAAGCCTTTAACGTATGCCTTAGACAACGGCTACTTTAAAAGATACTTTAAAAAATCTACATATGAAATTTTTAGCAAAAAATACTAACTTTATAATCAGTTATACAACATTTACAAGACTTAGGCCTTTTTGGGTTTCTCTTCCAGTTGATGATCGTGATACATGTGCTTGCACACAAATCCTTCGTCATCCTTTACTGCCGCACTTAAAACATTTAATGGTTACTTATCTGATTATTTAGCTCTTTTCTTCTCTTTTAGATGGCTAATAGCAGATTTCTCAAAATTTTTACTAAAGAATTAGACCTTTAGAATTTTAGAATTAGAATTAGTATTGTTTCAAATAATTAAAAAAAATTAAAGTTGTTTCAAATACTTCATTAAAAATGAAGAAAAATTACAAATACTAAATTACGAATAATAATTTAAAACATGCTACGGTATTTTCAGTATTTTTTTTTTGGATATACCTATTTCTTTTCAACCTAGCCATAACCCAAAAGGCTAGTTTAGATAATACTAATTCTTTTTTATTTATTTTTTATTGCTTATATGGGTGCACGAGCTCAGGGTCTACTTGATCTTAAGTGGTTACCGGAGCCCATAGACATCTACAACATAAATGCCACCACCCACCTTGAGATATGAGTTCTAAGGTCTCAGTATAGTTACAAAGGCTGCCCGACCCTTCAAAACGAAACGCATTACTGCTTCACGGTAGGAATAGACAGGGTGGTGGTACCTACCCGTGCGGACTCACAAGAGGTCCTACCACCAGTAAAGTAACAGTAATTATTCGAATTTAGACTACTATGAGAACAATAGTTTTCATAATTAGACAGTGTAGGCAATATTATTATTATACTAGCTGACCCGGCAAACATTGTTTTGCCATATCGCGGGCTTCAAGCCAGAGGGGCGTATAAGCAATAGCCCAACTTTTCAGGAGATACAAAAAACTTAATAACTTTTTTTTCAATGTATCTCTATAACTGAAAATTTGCAGGTGTCTATGAAAATACTTCCTTGATTGCGTGAAATGCTCTTTTTTTTTGTAAGTATTTCAGAACTCGCAATATTGCACGTACTTCTATTTGGCTCGACAATTTTAGGAAAATCTTATGTCATTTCTTCTCAGAAAATGCTTTTATCGGATGGACGTATAATACAAAACTATTGTATGCAATGAAATATTTAAAAAAACATTCGAACTTAGTAGAAGTGTCGTAAAATGTCATTAATAAATATTTTTTCTTAAGTGAAATGCAGTATATCTACCATTTTTGAAGATTATACGGCCAACTGGTTTGTCAAAAATATAAAATAATTTTCGTCCCAAGACAGACGTAAAGACTATTTAAGGTTCATTTCGATGGTAGTGAAATAAAACAGGACACTCAAAATTTGTTTTAAAATATTATTATTTAAAAAGGAACTTGTTTAACACATAAACTTTTAAAAGCAAATAAACACTTAACATAATTAACACTAGTAATTCAATGATAATAATAATTATTTCTTTGGTCCCAATCAGCATTCGCGAATTGCAGAGATCTTCATAATCTTAACTCTTAGTATAGTAAATAGTATAACAATTGAGTATTAAAGAAAAGTAGTTTACTTAAATAGCATAAACTGCTATAAAAAATTCTAAAATGAAAAACAAGAACGACGCATTATTAGCTTAGTGGCATTTAGTAAGTACTTTCCCTTTAGTTACATACAATGCAANTATATTATTTAAAATAAAAATTGGTATTATCATTCTTACAACAACAATTATTAGGTAGTTATTTAACTTCATAATTTAAATTTTTTTTATTTTCAAGGATTGGTTAGGACTACCAAATAAGCACTGCTGTTGGTGGTAGGCAAATACTCATACCACCACAGGGTAAGTAGGCTCACGTAACTCATTACACACAGTAAGCCATACTTCTATGAAACAAATAAAAGCTTAAAACGATTCTATACGTGAGTTGTCAAGCTTATTATGATAATGGATTTGTACGATAGGTGATGGATGTAATTTTATAAGTTCTTTGATATTTTTAAGTTTCTCTTTGTCCTCATCTGTACCTGTAAATGGAATAAATGAATGTGTCACAAAAATGTAGGTACCTTCCGATTCACTGGACTGAAGAATATATTTTAACAAGTCATTTCTGTTATAGTAACAGATGTTTCTTAAGAATTCTTCGAAAGTCTCGCCAAATAACGTGACTATAGCCAGTGAATATGCTTTCACATTTTCGTTTAGAATATCTATAATTTCTTTGGCTAATGGCACTGATATATCAAAAATAAATTTTTCCCATAACTTTTCATGCACGCTGTCATCTAGATTACCAGGTTCAAAAGCAGGCAATAATTTTTCATTTGCATGAGTTACTTGTATAAATGCTAATGTCAGTTTCCAAGCAGTAAAAGTTTGATAATTCTCTACCATTGAAAGTGAATTTTCAAGCTTAATTAAAATATCTTTGAACATTTTCAATGGGATTACATTCTTCTTTTTCAAAATCGTATCTTTCACGTTTAACGTTAATGATTCAAGCAGTTTTTCAATGTTACATCGAACATATCTTTTTTGTTCATGTTCCTCGTGATATCTCGGTAAATAGTTATCGAGTAATGGTGATAGAATTCGTTCAAATCTTTCATTTTGTTCGGCAATGTCTTTACATTGAAGTAAATAAGATGCGATTACAGAAAAATATTCACATTTTGTGGTGTTAAGCGTTTCTGTCATAGGTTTAATCAAAATCTCCTCCACGAAATCGCTTTCTAACAAATCCATGACTTCAGGAGCATAATCTATAATCCTATCCAATAGATAATGACAATTAGCTTTTGGAGGTAATGATTTCAGTAAAATGTAACTTCTCATATAATATCTTCCCCTTATGGATAATGGCACCGTTTTAATTTTACCCAACATATTGTAAATGTTTTTATTTTCTTCACTGGATAGGTTTTCAATAAAAGATTCTAAAATTTTCCAAAGTTCTTCAGCTTCGGCATCATTTTTTTCTTTACACAATCCATCAAATGTTAGCTTAAAAAGAACAGCGCGTATGCTTGAATTTTTTGTGGACATCCATAAATCTGACAACAATGGTTTTAGTTCTTTAGACTGAAGTTTGTTAAAAGCAAAATTAATACCAATTTTTTGTAAAGACACTGGTGCATTCATAAACAAAGGAATATCCATTTTAGTTTGAATTTGGCTGGAGTTTTGTAATATAGATGTTAAAGATGGAACAGTGAACTGCAAATAGTCTCCTTTGGCATAAAGTAATACAACTTCTATAGGGAGAAGCGGTCTGGACATGTGCATGAGTTTTGCTATATTTTTACGAATACTAAGTAAACGCTCATTCTCTTCACTCCAGTTAATTTTTTTTTCGCTCGGGGCATATTTTTTCAGTATGCTCAACAATTCCTTTTGTGAAAGTAATGAAATAAGATTTTGAATGAGAAATTTATGAACACTCGAATTTTCGAGGCGTTCAAAGTAATATTCTTTCCATGCAATAGCAAGATTTTGCGGCCAATATGTACGCAATTTACTGAGAAACATTCTCAATGACATTGTTTCCTTTTCACACAAAGTCTTTATGTCATTGTTGTATAGAACCAATAAATTTGGATCATGTTTCAAAGCATTCATAAATACTATTTCAGTAGGAGAAAGTGCAATAGATTCCTTAAACATGTGTCGTCTCCAGGCTTTGTTTAAATTATACACAAATGAAAAGTCTACATCCCAGGAGTTATCTTTTTTAATTCTCATGAGTTCTTGAATTTTATTCCAAACAAAGGGAAAGTCAGATATGTGTTTTTTCCAATCTTGAATTAATAGCAGAATATTTTTTATTATTCCAATATTATCCACAAGAGATGTTTTATCATTTATTTCTTGACTAGTTAATTGTGTTTGTAAGTGATCATATAGAAAACTAAACAATTTTGTTTTCTCTTCTTGATTTAGTATCTTTGCAAATGATTTCATTGTATTGAAAGAAAATTTTTTAATTACAATTTCTTGATTTGTTTCACCAACAATAACATTATGAACAATAATAATTTCAATACATTTTTGCACATTATTTTCAGATTCAACATATACTTCCATACTATGAAAGAGTGTATTTAGGAGGGACCAAGTTTCATGATTTTTAATAGCTTTGATATTTGAAATAGCAGTGTTTACAAATTGTATCTTAAATTTAAAAGGTTCATTAATATGTTTGTCATGATAATACTGGAGAACTGTTCTTATATCATTCAAGTTATTTCCAGCACACTTAAGCAAAACAATCATCATAGAGTTTCTTTCTATGGGTGATGATTCAGCACGTATGAGTTTCTTTATCTCTACAAAGGCCACATCAAATGGTGCAAATTTATACCATACATAAGAATTTTGAACACTGTTGGACTGCTTAGAACTCATCGCAACACCTAATCTGTCACAATCGCCGAGCTCTTCTTTAAGGTCTTTATCAATGAAAATTTTCTGTATAAATNTCATCATAGAGTTTCTTTCTATGGGTGATGATTCAGCACGTATGAGTTTCTTTATCTCTACAAAGGCCACATCAAATGGTGCAAATTTATACCATACATAAGAATTTTGAACACTGTTGGACTGCTTAGAACTCATCGCAACACCTAATCTGTCACAATCGCCGAGCTCTTCTTTAAGGTCTTTATCAATGAAAATTTTTTGTATAAATTCAAATCTACCTTTTTGAGGCATGCGTTTTATAAAGTGTATAAAATTATTATATGTGTATATGAAATCGAGTTCATCATTCTTGACATGTTTTAATAAAAAGCTTTGTATTTCATCCGGTTTTAAATATTTTGAAAAACATTCACAGTCTACACATTTTGCAAATTTTGGAAAATTATCTAATATTCGTTGTGGACATTTTTCCATAAGAATCTTGGTATATTTTGGCCCAAAAGCTGGAAGCCGGTAATATTGAACATTTTCAAGCAAATCTAAAAATTTCTCTGGTTCTTTTTTTATTAGAAATAATGTTTTCGACATTGTAGAACCATAGAAGCGTCCAGTTGTCTCATTAAATATCTTTAATATTGAAAATGACTTTTCGCACAAACGCTTGAGAATATGCACTGGCAAGTCATTGCTTTCTTCTTTGATTACTGTTTCTATGAAGCCTAGAGAACAGTTTTGTAACCATTTGTAAGCATCTTGAGGTTGTCTATCTTTGACATAATGATAAAATTCTTCAACCCTTATTTCATCTTTTAAATTTAGTCTTATATGTAGCATGAGTTTGTTTATGCCTCGTTTCAACATATTTGGGAATAATTCATTATGAAGGTATGTTGGGTTTATGAAATGAGAGTATTGTTTGTCTTTTATTAACCATGTGCTGTGCTTAATAGCTTTGGAGATATATAGCATATCTTTACATTTAAAGACTTCTAGTATATACTCTGCTTTCCTGGTTTTGCAAGCTATCTCTATTTTTAACAAATTATCAAGGTCACTCTCATCAGTATTGATTGCATCTAATGATGTATTAGCTGCATCTTTGACTAATTTGTTAAATTGCTTATGTTTTCGCCCTAAGCTCACATCTTCTAATATTAAAGGTGGCATTATGAAGATCTGGAAAAAAAAACAAAAATGTGTAAATTGGCAAATACATGTTTTATTTAACACTAGAAAAGTGAAGGTGATATTCTTTGTGATAGATATCTAGGGAAAAACATTAAATAGTTTTCAGCTAACCCTGAGTATTGACTTTGGATCTTTGAATCTTACATGTGATATTAAGAATGAGTATGGTATCAATATTGTAGTTACACGACAAACAGAGTACATAACCATATAAACAAAATAAAAGATTTTATTGGTGAGTGAACTTATGTAGTTGCTTTCTTGGAAAGATCGAACCTATCCAGGTTCAATTTAAAATTATGTATCTCCTATCATGAATTTGATACAGGACATTAGGTAAATTCAATTCTCATGTATAGTAAATTTATTACATTTTAAATGCTTAATAACCTTTTTTCAGCTATTTGAATGGAGTGAACTTAACGGTAAGTGAAATACCAAATAAAACACACCTTTAATTAAAAATAGAAATGTTGCATACTAAGCAAAATGTCATTTAAACCAAATAGCCTTTCACACCTCAATATCATTATCATTTGATCACTATTTAATAATGAAGTTTTTTTTTTTATATTGTCAAATGATATTGTAGTAACTTAGTAAATAGCTCAATACTTAATTAACATTCACTTCACAGTCACTTTTCAAGCAATGATTTAACTCCGTTCAGTAACTACATTTAGATGGGTTTTCAGTTCTGTGTCGATGTTTACGTATTAGTCGTCATGTAGGTATGTAATAGAATTATGAACAAGACGAACAACGGTGCTGTGATTTAAAAATTGAAACCGGGTGATGATAAGACAAAATCCCATAAACACTCTGAAGACAAAACCTCATAGACTCTTGAAATATGTTCACGTCATCCATACAAGCAGCTATGAATCATAGAAAGCAGACCAAAAAAAAGAGCGTTTAAAGTTCACAGGTCCATTCGTAAATGTTGTAATCGACGAATTAGGCACTGCATTAATGAGACAGATTTTATGTCCATACTTTAATACTTTTACTATATATCTGTTGTACCTAGGTAGTTTTTATAATAGTGGAATAGGATGGAGTCACGGAATCCAAAATGATAAACATGAAAAACGGCAACATAGGTAAGAGATGACAAATAAACTTAACATGGTAGGTACGGTATATAAGGTACTTACTTTTTAATAAAAAGTTGTTTACCTCGGCGTGACAGTTTATTATTTCTTTGAGTAGTAGTAGTTTTTAGTAGTATAGTCGTATTTTTTATTAGACGAAGTCAATTGACGTTTATGTACTGTGTTGTCAGTTTTTGATGAAATAAAAATAGTGTTGTGACAAAGTGAATGATTGAAAAAACTCCTGAATTAATGAAATTGCCTCGATTGTCTAGTGCAGAGGTCAGCAATGCGGCGCCCCCGATCGATTTTTAATGTGCCCTCGCTGGACTAATGTAAATGTATGATAGTCAGAGCGATTTACTTACTCTTGTCAAACGGCGATATACAGCAAGTAGTCAGTTGAGTTTAAGATTGTGCACAGATTAGCAGTTTGCTAACCTTGAGCGTATGTAATAACACGCACGTATTTTTTGTTAGTGTGTGATCGTACTTTGAATCGACCACGCGTAGAATACCGAGTGTTTTAAACATTAAGGAAAACATTGCGCGGAAACTTGTAAGACTGTTATATTTTCAATACATAATATAGTTGAAACTATAGATGTATAAAATATAACAATTATAGGTAGGTGTTGGAGTTTGTATATTAAATGTAATGGCAGGCAACACTTGACACTTGATTAGATTTCGAATATTGGAATTATTTTAAATGTTTTAAAAAACAGATCATTGTATTCTCGTAAGAAAATGTCAGTTACTTCTCATCTAGACACAGCAAGACAAACATGTAATAGTTATATAAAAAATATAAAGATAATAATTGTATAATGGTGTAAAAGTGTTCGAGCAATCTGCAATATAATTATAATGAAGCAGTTGTGTTTTTAAATATCCCCTCATCACCTAAAGAACCCAATCCCCTCAAATATAACCGTCCAACAGTAGGTAATGACATTTAAAAAAAAATGATTGTAGTTACATGCTACTAGTAACATATATTAGAGCACTTTAATACAATTTTATTGTAAAATAGAAATAATATTCTTTTATAGTTTAAATGATTAACTATACACACTCATTGTTCATTCATCTTATTGAACGAGAACTGAACTCATCACTTTTACTTTAAATATGGCAACATTATTTTACAAAGTGACATTAGCTACTGTCAGGTGGCTTCGTCTAAATAAAAATACTATAGTTTTATTTTTCCAAATGGAAAGGCAAAGGTATTACACCATATAGCGTAATCTTTTATATATATTATGAAATGAAATGAAGCTGATTAATATGAAACATTGAAATGAAATTATTTGAAATGAGATGATATGATATGGGATATTTTTATGAAAAATGATAATATGGAGTGAAATGAAATAAAGAATTTGAGACATTAATCAACTGGGATGAAATTAAATGAAATGAGATGAGATGATATAGGATGAAATATATTAGTAAAATGGTGGTCGTTTACTGAGATTTTTTCAGTGGACTTTTTAGAGGATCCCGGGAAGTTACGTCCAACGGCTTGGGTTTCCAAAGGCCAAACCTTTGGTTTGGGCCAAATTTTCCCACATTTGTGCACTTTCACAGATACTAAATAGTTAATAAACCACCATTATTACACATTTAAACCTGAAAAAACATTAAATAGACAAAATAAAACAAATCGCACTTCACACCTCGCTTTCCCGCCAAAAAGTCTATTTCTTTGATTAGCAAATTATTTAAGGTATGTAGGGGTGAGGCGTACCGGTAAAATGGGGCGATTAGGGATTGAGAGGCGAATCGGGAAAAAACCGGGAAAATCTTTCGACGCTCAATATAAGTTTTATATTCGTTGCAAAATCTTCCATTTTTTGTAGTTTAATAGTAGAATGTTGAAAGTTCACAAAACAACTCTGAATATGCATGATAATAGCTGCTAACTTATAAAAAATCGCGTTTCAAATTAACTTCCTGTGGTGGTAATTATTTTAGTGCTAGAAACTTTGCTCTCTTTTATTTATTTGATAATAATAGAAGACGACTATGATTTATAAACGTTATTTAGTGTTTGAACCAGCATATATATTAAAGGTAAGTCTCAGTTGTTATTGGTTTTAATGTATTTGATTAAATAAAAATACATGTAAA